ATATTTATATCAAGAAAATTAAATTTAAAAACTCTAAAATTGGTTTTACTTTCGATTCACCAACATAGGGAAAACGACCTAAGGTCAAATGGCATAGGGTCAAACGACCTAGGGTCAAAAGGCATAGGGTCAAACGACCTAGGGTCAAATGGCATTGGGTCAAACGACCTAGGGTCAAATAGCATAGGGTCAAACGACCGAGGGTCAAACGACATAGGGTCAAAAACGCGACCAAGGTAAAAGGGTCAAAAAGTGCGACAAACAGGCAAACAAAAATGTACAGTAATTTTTGTTTAATTTTATGATCATTTGAACTACTAGCAACAGCGTTCGGCCCCTAACCTGTCCTAGCCGCAGCGCTAGGTCCCCTAGCATTACCTAGCACTCGGCCCAGAAATTGTCAAACCTAACCTAACCCTGAAATAATACAATTTCTTGTTCAAATATTTTTGCCATTTTGACCCATTGTCGTTTAACCCTTTGTTGCGTTTTTTACCGTTTGTCGTTTGACCTAGGTCGCTTTACCTTGTGTTGTTTGATCCTATGTCGGTAAACCCTGAACAAACGATTTTATTTCACGAACGATTTTACTGAACGATCTACAGTTACAAACGAAAATGGAAAATGAACAATTATTCTGAAAACGAACGATTCCAAATTTTTACTAAACGACTGAAAAGAATTATCATTCCTATGATCAAATTATAGCCTTTGAAATATCAAAGGTTTTTACCATTTGGTTGCATTTCATTAATAGGACATTTCACAGATATAAAATTTCATTAATAGGACATTTCACAGATATGAAATTTCATTAATAGAACATTTCACAGATATGAAATTTCATTAATAGGACATTTCACAGATATGAAATTTCAGTAATAGAACATTTCACAGACATGAAATTTTATTAATAGGACATTTCACAGATATGAAATTTCATTAATAGGACATTTCACAGATATGAAATTTCATTGATAGGACATTTTACAGATATGAAATTTCATTGATAGAACATTTCACGGATTTGAAATTTCATTGATAGAACATTTCACAGATTTGAAATTTCATTGATAGGACATTTTACAGATATGAAATTTCATAGACAGGACATTTCACAGATATGAAATTTCATAGACAGGACATTTTACAGATATGAAATTTCAAAGACAGGACATTTTACAGATATGAAATTTTATAAACAGGACATTTAACAGATATGAAATTTCATAGACAGGACATTTCACAGGTATGATTTTTTATTTAATAAATTAATAGAGACTAAAGAGTACATTTAATAGACAGGACATAGAGACAGGACAGAGAAATTTTTTTGTAGTTATCTTGTTTGATAAATCATATATATCATGATCTATCTCATTTTTACATTTTAGTATTATTTCGTAGTTATCTTGTTTGAAAATCATATATATCAGATCTATCTCATTTTTACTTCACATTTTAGTATTATTTCGCTTAAAATTGATAATATACATATATCTGTTAATAGTTTGTTATCATTCAGACAACAGTGCTAAACAATACTTTTATTAAATATATATATATATATATATTTAATATAAGTTAGGCTTTTCTATTTCTTGATTTTATTGAACAAAATGCACTTGAAAAGCAGTAAAAATATAAAGAATATATATATGTAGATATTCAAACAGATCAGATTTTCTATAATTATGACACATTTCTTAATTACAATGAAAACCTTAAATTTTCTCGTCGATAAAATTTACTATCAATGATTTTTTTATCTATTGAAGGTTTTTATAAAAAATGTCCAACACCTTAATTGTGCAATATGCAATTGGATATATCGTTAACTACGCTGTAACTGGACAGAAGGAGACGATCAAATTTATACAATATTATTGGTACGACTTTGTACCCTTGTAGCTCCTTTGGTTTTGATTTTTCGGACAAGTATGAGAAAAACAAATTTATCCGGTTGCATATTAGAAATTTAAAACATTTTAGTTTTTCTTAATAGATCTTTAATAAGAGGAGGTATTAATGAAAACATATAAGATTTCAACACGCACCTCTTATCCTTTAGTAAAAGTAAATTCAACCTAAAGTCTAACCGCGTCAACCTTGTTGCACCGGCTAGTCCTATTGAGTGTCTGATTTATTTACCCTATGTCCGAGCGATACAGTACAAACTAGGACCGGAAAGGTTGTCCCGGCTCGGAAATTCAAATGTACTACGGCTGCCCGTGGCAATCTTACGCGCAATTTACTTTAGTGTAACGTGACAAAAGAACCTTTTTCACCAAGTTTTAGAAAATTCCCAACCCCTGTCCAGGCCTGATGTCAGAAACTAAACAGAAATATGAAAACATTTTCTCTAGGTGTGAAGGTTAGGATAAATGTTTTCTTTTAAAAATGTGAAGTTTTCTGCTTGAAAAACTTGATACTAAAATGTGTTCTCTGTCTTATGTCTGGAGACTGGAGAGTAGAATAGACGGAACTAATAAATTCTTCAGGGTTTCTTTCAATCTCTGAAAACGGGTTAATAGGTTAATCAACGAAAACTGTTTCTGATTAAGAAGTTTTATTTAAGGAACATTCGACGTAATATCAAGTTATCCTCCATTTCGAGATTAAACCTTTACTTAAAGTCTGTCTATTACTCTCCTTATTTAAGCCAAGAATGTAATGCAAGGAAAGTTAATTGCAGTTGCGTATACTATGCGTACATATTGAAACCAGTTCTCTCTGGGCGGAATTTGTAAATATGAATAGATGCATCAGTGTTCGTTTATCCGAGGAGGTTAAAAGCATTGAATTTTGATAATTTTGATAATTCACATAATAGTTTCCTATGACCAGAATATTTCATTGATTATTTATGTGAAAGATGGATCCCATGTCAGGCTTCGATATCAATCTTGTGTTTACATTACCACCCAGTGACAGTACACTGCCGTACAAAAGATGCGAAATAACTTTCCTTGCATTAAATTCTTGACTTAAGCTGCACAAATTCGCAATTCAGATTTATAAAGAAAAATCAGATAGAAAAACAAGTTTTGAAAGGTATGGGCATTTACATCTTTAACTGGGGCATCTTATTGAAATAAGTCGACAGTCCCTTTAACTGGGGCATCTTATTGAAATAAGTCGACAGTCCCTTTAACTGGGGCATCTTATTAAAATAAGTCGACAGTCCCTTTAACTGGGGCATCTTATTGAAATAAGTCGACAGTCCCTTTAACTGGGGCATCTTATTGAAATAAGTCGACAGCCCCTTTAACTGGGGCATCTTATTGAAATAAGTCGACATTCCTTTTAACGCTGCATCAGACAGAACTCTCTGGCACTTTTAAATAAGAACCAATTGCTTTTTATGAACTACCATTAATTGAAACCGGTGTAACACAGCTAAGAAATTACGAATCAACATTTCAGCTCGGGAAGATTTTGAAATGTCGCCGTGGGGTTGACCTTACCACCCTGAATTATACCATCGTTTGGCCATGCAAAATAATATATGAAGGCTTCAAAGTGCTTAACTTTTAAAGTTTTTGGCACAATGCATTTTTGTGACAGAAATTGCATAGTTTAGTTCACAGTGCAAAATTTCAAACCTTTTCTGAAGATACATATAGAATAAATTCAAAATATTCGTCTATTTTCTTTTACAACATGTTAAAAAATTTATCTATTTTATGCATTATGCAAGTTTTATGAATACGGATTATCGGACATATCTAAAATCTGAGATATTCACCATATGACAGAACCATTTATAACATCTTCAAAATTTAACATATTCATAAAATTTCATATTCATAGTCTGATATTCAATGGGGGTAAATTCAAGAATATCTTAATTTCAGACATCTATTGGAGTTTAATTTGTAGGAAAACGCTTTAAATGAAAGATGAAAGATATCAGTTACTCTATAAAAAGGTGGTTTAATTTAGTAAACAATTTAGACGCAATACTGTTGGCAGATATTAAAAAGACAAGGATGAAAAAACTGCAATAAAACTGCACTGTGGGTAACCACGAGAATTTATGACGGATTCTTCTGACGTTAATACAAAATAACAACAGTATAAATGATCTATAAGAATTCATAGTTTGATATTTCTACGACATTGAGCTGCAAAGATATAGGAATTAGAAAATCAGAGTTTGCAGCGAAGACTTGATTCCTTTGGATTAAAAAACATACTTTTTAAGAAATACCGAATATTATAGTAATATTACGGAATATTATAGTAATATTAATATGGAGGTTGTCTAGATTTACGGATACTGACAACAAAGGTTGGATTAACTTTTAGATATTTGATTTCCGTCTTGTTCTCCGTTCCCAGATATCCAACAAACTTTACTGGATATCAATATAATTTTACACCTTGGATATCATATCAATATCATTTTACACGTTGGATATCATATCAATATCATTTTACACCTTGGATATCAATATCATTTTACACCTTGGATATTAAACAAGATTGTTGGACACTGAATATATATCTGATAAATTTCAAACATTTGTAGATTATTTTAGAAAGTTTTAGATTATTTTAGTCTTTTTCAAATTTAAAACATGTTTAAATTTTTAAGTGAACGTGTACACACAATTAAACTTTTCTGAAGTAAAGTTTTAGAATTATTCAACATATGGTATAATGTATAATATATGGGGAAATTAAAAATGCTTAAGCTTCTTGATAATTCAATGAAAAGTGCCTGAATTATCTCATGTTCTCTTTTTAGTCAAAAGATTCGAGTTTGTAAAATTTTTATAATTTATTTTTTTTCTTAACCAAAAAAACCAAATTTTAATATTAAACCAAAAAAATGCATAATTGATACATGAGGTTACTTTTTCAAAATTTTCGTTTGCTTAAAATTCTTAAAACAAACAGAAAACTTGAAAAAACTGAGAAATCATCAGTTAATATTTTTTTTCCGCAACTAAGCCACTAATATTTGGCTCGGGACCAACTTGTATAAAGCTCACCTCGTCATTTCAGGACTAAATTACTCAGGACGAAATTAAACACATTTCTAGGCTTTATGCCTGAATGCCAGCACCGTCACTTTTCAGCTAAATGGTCCGGACGATTTTCCCGTCATTTCTGAGATAGATCTAGCTCAGATACAGAATAAAAAACTGAAAATGTATTAGAGATAGATCGGTGTTTATCACTATTCTTAGAATAATCAAAGGATAAAATTAAGTTTCAGTTTTCTTAAATTACTATCGGAGAAGATCGAATCGAATCTCCAGGTACGAAAGAGAGACTAGCTCCGAGGTTTAAGAATTACTGAAGGAGACACGAGAGTCCGGTAACCTCCGATACTCCGTCATATCCCGCCTAATATCTAAACAGGGAGGAGGGAGAGGGATTTCTCGGGAAAAATTTCCCCATGTTCAGATATATATACTTCCGGCACTTTAACCCCCCATGCTTCAATATTAGTGGAATCCATTCTCTTTCTATATATTTTTTATACCTTTCCATTCATCCTGCCCTGCAGGGCAAACCTAAAACGAAATTCAGCTGAAATGTCACAACACAAGTAAATTCAGCTGATAGAAATATCACAAAACAATTAAATTCAGCTGATAGAAATATCACAAAACAATTAAATTTAGCAGATAGAAATATCACAAAACATTTAATAGTCACAAGAAAAAGACCACGAAGTTTAAATGGAATGGAATATTGAAAGATAACTTTTTGCTTGAATGTAAAACGTAATTGTTTTCTATGACTTTTTGTCTAAGATGCGCTTTCACGCAGTCAATTTTTAAATGAGGTCGAATTAAATAAGTTAAAATTTATCTAGAAATGGGAACAGATTTCAATGTGGTCAGATTTGGAAAGTGCATTTAAAAATTTCAGTTTTTATTGTACCTAAAAAGTAACAAAAACACTATAAACGAATATTGAAAGAAAATCAGAGTAATATTTGTATTCTTAAATCAAAGTCAATATTTTTGGACATCTTGTATTAGAGGAATTATCTAGTCTTTTGAGACACAATACAATGTTTACGGACCAACGTATTGGGACACCCTGTAGAACAGAAAGTAATGCAAGGACATACTGTAGAACAGAAAGTAATGCAAGGACACCCTGTAGAACAGAAACTAATGCAAGGACACCCTGTAGAACAGAAAGTAATGCAAGGACACCCTGTAGAACAGAAAGTAATGCAAGGACACCCTGTAGAACAGAAACTAATGCAAGGACACCCTGTAGAACAGAAAGTAATGCAAGAACACCCTGTAGAACAGAAAGTAATGCAAGGACACCCTGTAGAACAGAACGTAATCCAAGGACACCCTGTATAGGAAAAAGTTGTGAGACTGCACTGTTCTGTGAGTGGTAGTAGTTAATATATTATAATTGGTTAGACTGGAGAAGTTTTGAACTGTATGCAGTATATTACCATATTGGTTTCGCAGGGGGCAGACCGTACTAGACCCACTAGATCAGAAACTATAAAGTTCTCAGGGGGCAGACCGCACTAGACCCACTAGATCAGAAACTATATAGTTCTCACTCTCAGGGGGCAGATCGTACTAGACCCACTAGATCAGAAACTATAAAGTTCTCAGGGGGCAGACCGCACTAGACCCACTAGATCAGAAACTATATAGTTCTCAGGGGTAAGATCGTACTCGATGATATATATCCCGGACAATACAGTTCTCAGGGGGAGGACCGTACTAGACCCACTAGATCAGAAACATATAGTTCTCAGGGGGCAGACTGTACTAGACCCACTAGATCAGAAACTATATAGTTCTCAGGGAGCAGACCGTACTAGACCCACTAGATCAGAAACTATATAGTTCTCATTTTTATTTTTATCTTCGATGATATATATCCCGGACAGTATTTGTTTTGATTTTAGATTTTTCTTCCTTTTTCCGAAAAAAATATAGTAAGCAAATACAAACTAGAACTTTTTTCTGAACTGTCATTCACGTACGTACGTCTCTTGAAAGGGACAGACCGGCTATGTAAGGTAGTTGAACTGAGTATGCAGTGTTTTGGAAAGCTTCTTTAGGGTTCATTTGAGACATATAAAACTTTTTAAAGGTCTATAAATTCTGAGTTTGAGCGCAAATTTGACGTTTAAAACTCCTACTTTGGATACGTTTTCAGAATCGATTTTTTTAAAATTACTAAATAACGACGACGAAAAAAAGTAAAAATTATAATGTAAACCATTTAGATGGTTAGGAACATATTTCTCAAAAGAAATTTGTCAATAAATCAATGCTAGAATCAATTATTTCGTTTTCTTCATTATGTTGAATTTCTTATTTTCTTTGAGTTTATTCGCAGATTTCTTCAAATTCTTCAAATGTCGTTATTTCAATAACAATTCCAGAAAATCTGCAGCAAATCTTTGTGAATAATGAGAAAACAGAAACTAATAATTAAACAAGATTTCTTTTTTTTAATGATAAGATTAATTAGTTTAAAGTAGAGTTTTGTTTACATTTTTGTCGTCATTTTATAGGAGTTTAAAAGTAGAAGTTTTAAACGTCGAATTTGTGCATCATACTCAGGATTTACAAATCTTTAAAAAGTTTTATATTAGATTTCCAAAACACTGCATACTCAGTTCAACTACCTCACATTGACGTTTATTGGATACAAACAAACAGACAGACAAACAGACGGAGAAGCCAAATTTATTTTATATATATAGATTGCCAGAAACAAAAATTTCTACATTGTTTTATTGTTAAAAATGCGCCAATTTAAACAGAAAATCCCCCAAAAAATAAGAATGATCAAGAAATTACCACTTTCAGCCTAACAGCCTGATATTTTAAACAAGACAAGCTAAAACAATTTAACTCATATATTGATATTGACATTAATAATGTCTGCGGTTCATTAACAATTAGTTCTTTATTGGTGATTTTATATTCCAATCATTAATAGAAAAGAAAAAGGTAAATATATATTTATATTTTATATATTCATGATAATATTGATATGATATACATTACATACACCCTACAGAATAATACAGTCAATACTTTCATTTATAAATACACAAATATACCAACCGGGAGCCCAACTTTTAAAAAATGTTGCTTTTATTTGAAATGAATTTTAGCTGGGGGGGGGGTTGGGGTTAGAGAGCAGAATTTTTTAATGGCAAACTGTGGAATTGATAAGTAATAGCTAGTTTTAACAGTTTTAATAGTAACAAAGTTGTAATGAAATCTAATCATTTTGAATGGGCACATGAACCATCTTTATATAAGTTTGTCTTGTCTGTTTAAAGCTGTATTTAATAAACGTCAAAATAGCTGAACCGGCTAAACTCTCATGACCCAGTCCGAGGGTAGGTTTATTGATAGTTTAAAATGAAAAAAATGATTTTTGAAACGTTTGAATAGACAACTCTACGATAAAAAAATGTTTTGGAGAACTATGAATTAAATGGCGACTTCGGAAAGTTCGACGCAACAGTTAAACGTTGAAGCTATACTAGAAAAGGGGGCGCAGACCCAGAGTGACCTCAACGCTTGGTATATATTCAAGGAGGGCACCGTGAAGAAATTTTATCAGTCTTTATTCTTATCTCATCATAAAAAAATAAAAGTTAAATAAATATGTTTGTAAGAATGATGTAAACTCAGATTTTGAATCCCTATATCTTTGCAACCCAATGTTGTAAACCTTAGATATTTCAAACTATGAATTCTATTAGATCAAATACTCTAAGTTTGGAATGTCACAGGTTTACACCATCAGGCTGCAAAGATTTAGAAAATAGAAAATGTAAGTTTGTGGCAAAGACTCGATTCCTTTGGTCTTTTTTTCCCCTTTTTGTGTTTTTTAGAATAAAATAATTGATTAATGTCCGGGAAAGTGATGTCTCAAGTTAAGTGAAATTATGGTTTATTCAAAGCTGTGCTATTGTTAAAAAATTCCATCAAATCTAACAAAGATCACTTAGTCATGAAGGGTGTCTAAAACGTTCTTATTTTTAGTAATTTAAAAAAAAAACTATAGAAAGCTAAAAAGATTTACTTCAAATTGTCGAGACTTTCTTTATTTCAGTCCAACAAAGCTTTCAATTTCTCAGTAAGGATATCAAAATAATAAAATTTAACCATTGTTAATTTAACAGGTTCGCTCTTTAAGAAGCTTCAGTATTTAACAATGTTAAATACTGAACATTCTTAAAGAGCGAACATGTATCCAATGACAATAGAATAGTTATGGGGGGATAAAACCAAGGGTTGTTTATATTTAATATAATAGTTAAAGGAGAGCTACGGTAATGTTCTTAGTTTTGAGATTCTAAGTTGAGTTTGTCAACCTTTATTTTGAAAATTTAGTTTCCCTGTAAAATCGACCAAAGGCATGTAAACGACAGAAGTAACCATGAGTAACTTGGGCAACGCTGGGTTCCCAAGCCCGTATATAATATATCTAAATTAAAAAAAAATTGTAGTAGTTTCTGTTTTTTTTGTATATCCGGTCAGAACTCAGGAACCACTCAACCGATTTTCCTCAAATTTTGATTGGGGAACTTTGTAGCTACATAGGTTCAAAAGTTTTCAGTTGAATAGGTCGAATCTTATAAAGAAAACTTGGTTTAAAAGTAAAATCTGGGTTACCAAGCTTACAATATAAAGTCCTTGTCCAATGTCCATTCCATGTAAAGTCCTCTGTAATCTGTAACCATTGATCGTCCTCTTCACTCTCCCTTTGGGCGTTCCATGATTTCCCTCTGTAGTCATCAAATCGTTATTTTAGTCAGTTTATTTGTAAATTGTGCACAAAGTAATTAAACACTCGCATTAATTTCTGATTATATAATACCTAGTGTTTCCGACCTTTTAAATTTTTAAACAAAACCACATTCTCTATTATTTTGAATTTGAATCATCTTTGTAAAGAGTTAGCGTTGTTTTCGCTATTTTCAATGGTTAAGATAAAGTTTTCCTAATAGGCATCACCATACTAAATCAAAAAATCATTCACAAAGACGATATTTAAATCGTCACTGAATACCCATGTTAATTAGGACACCCTGTACCTCTATAATGCATTGTGTTCTTCCACGTAGTCTTTGACGTAAAACTTGGTAATTCTGTCTCCCTCCTGGATTATATTGCAACATTGCAATATGAGTTAAGGAATTTCAAGTTATACTCCCAGCAAGGATCGCAATGCCCGATTCACCCTTGATACCTTTATCTGATCAATAATGTCGATAATGTGGAAGACATTTTTATAGGTTAAAATGGTTTAATTTGGATATTTTCTATATGTTTTCCTACAGTAGAAATGCGCAAGTCCTTTTAAGAAACCTCAATAGAAAATAATAAGTTTTTAAAATTATAAACATTGATATCTAATTCGTATTTGATCATACAAAGCTTTGAAGAGTTCCCTTGTGATTCGGGCATTACCATCTTTGAATAGAGGTTCACTTGAAATTAGGCGACAGTCTCTTTAAAAGGCAGACTTTATATCACTTGTCGTTTATTTCTTTTCTTGAAGAGTTCCCTTGTGATTCGGGAATTACCACCTTTGTATAGAGGTTCACTTGAAATTAGGCGTACAGTCTCTTTAAAAGGGAAACTTTATATCAGTTGTCGTTTATTTCTTTTCTTGATAATTGGGTTTACAACAGCATGTCCAACTCGTGCAACAAATATACTTAACAGATTTCAAGTAGTTATTTAATATTTTTTTGTTAAGAACCGTGATGAAAATGATGAACAAATATTATTCCATATTCCAATCTTAAACTGTATTCAGAGCATGAGATATCAGAAAAAAAACCTTTTCAAGATTTATCACTAATGTTTATATTCAATGTTCAAAGCAAATTATTAATTACATGGAACCTTTGCTCTACAAACAGGTGAACATCCTTGAGTAGATCCAGCATTCATTGCACAAATCATTCACACCTTTTTATTAAAAATAAATGCACTGCATGATGTATACATGTCACATGTATAAGCGTCCATATCATTATTATGCTTTAGTTTATCCAATTTTATTTTTCCTATTTTCTAGTTATTAATATTTATTAATAATATAAATTTCATGTATTTATCTAATTGCATCACATAGTACGAATTCCCAGAAATGTTATAAATGTATTCCAAACCTTCCTTGAAGAAAGGACAATCGTGGGATTTCTTGATGAGGTCATTAAATATCGGATTAAAATACTAGTACAAAATACCAATGTAAATATAACTAAAAATTTAGAATAGGAAATTTTGAATAAAATAAATTCCAATAAAAAATCCTATATTCAAAAAAGTATATTTCGTACGATTTCAGCCGGAGCACGATGCAACAAGATTGTGATGATTATAATATTAGTGGATATTCGTGGGGTAAAAGATGCATCATCCCTATAAAGTGCATATTCTAGTCATTCAATTTAAACAAAAGATTGTGTTTAAAAATTGTTTAATTATCAAAATTTACAGAATAATCAAGGTGGACAATAATCTTTCCTCATTCCTCGTTCAATAAGTTTCACACGAACTAGAAAACATGATTTACTCAAAAGTAAAAATGTCTTTAATTTCACTGCTTTTATGAGCCAAGTTTATTTCTCCTGTTACCATAGGTACAACCAAATTCACACCTATGGTAACGCTATACTGGAGCCGTGTAGATTTGAGGTGTGTTTTTAAACATTTAAGTTTTTATACTTTTAAAATGCTCCTCAAGATGTATTCAAAGATATTTTCTTTCATTGCGCGCGCGCGCGGACATTTAAGCCTTGAGGTGAATTTTTTTAGCGCATATTTGTTTCAAGAGTGCCAGGAAAAATGTTCCAGTGCAATTAATGTAGTTAACATTGATGTACTGTCAAAAAAGCCGCATTTTTCATAAAAAGCGCGCGCGCACTTTTGCTCAGATTCCTTTAAAACCAAAAAATGCATGTAATATACATAATTCTGAGTTTGCATGCAAAAAATTAGCCTCCTACGACAATTCTAAGTTATGTTTAAACACGGTTTAAGTTTTCCGGAGAGTAATACGTTTTATGCCCCCCCCCCTTTATTTTGTTTTGTTGTAATCTGTTTTTAAGAAAACTGTTAAGATTTAAATAAATACAAATTTTCTAGATTTAATTTGAACTATGAAAAAAGGTATCGCTTGAATCAAAGATTATAAAAGATGAAATTCAATTCAATTCAAATTTTTTCTCTAAATATTTTTCTTCTCGTGTAAAAAATGTTTAAAGTTTTAAATACCACTTTATTGGTCATGATTAGGCACTATTAATGATAATTGATAAGTACTTCTCATCTTTGAGAAACCTCTCATGCAACTATTTCGAAAAAGTTGAAAAAAATCTTTTATTTAAACTTGCAACACAAGTTTTAAAAAACTTTCTGTATTACAAAGGCATACTTTGATGTATTGCGCATGCTCATTTCTGCATAGCGGAGGTTCGGTCTGCCTGGCAAATCTGAGAGACTCATGTCTGCATAGTGGAGGCTCATAGCGTCCGGGGGTTCCCTCCCTCCATGAACAATACAAATTTGGAATTGTAGAGTTTAATTCAATTTGCCAAATATAATATCACAATAACGTTTGAAGAATACTACAATAAATACAGCAAAATGGAAATTTTAATTTTCAATTAATACAATTTGACATGAATTTAAAATTGGTGTTATTATTACTCAAAGTTTAAAAGTATCGTATTATACCAGAACTAGTTAAATATATAAATTCTTTCCTAAATTCTCGATTCAATACATACGGACCTTAACATTTTTGTTTAACACATTTATTTAGGGCGCATTAACTTATACTTTACTACTACTGTCAGAGACTAAAATAAAATCTTTCATTTTCATTTGAGAAAATGTTTAACGATTAATTTCTGAAAGAAACAGGTGCAAGGCAAATTTTACAATTAAAAATATTCCAAAAATTGAAAAAAAGATGTTTATATAAACCTAAGAGAATACTCAAGATAAAAGGAAAATGTCCAGAGAAAAATTTAGGAAAATATTGACAAAGGAAAAATTCTCTTTATTACAAACATCGCTTGGGATTTGGTAATTTGCAATAAAAAAACTGTAAAAATATCCCTCAACGTATTCAATGGAACTAATATCCAAAAAAGTAGAATTTACATAGAATAAGTGACTTTTTAACTAATAAGATTCCAAAAGCATTGCCTTGAACAATTCTGTTTGAACTTCTTCCTTTCTAAATATTCTCTATAAGCTGATAATTTTCTTTCTTTTCAGATTTAAATCGTCACGTTAATAATATAGCGCGTGATACATAAAACTTTAAACTATCAATTATGTGATGTTAGTATAATAATGTTATATAAAGCAGGTCATATATGCATACAGATTATGGTATTGGTTTAGTAGAGTTCACCTGTTTGCAACATACAGCAGAACAATATTATTTAACAAATATTGAATATTCAAAATAGAATCAAGATAATTTTCTTTTACTAGGCAACCACCTTATTTTAAGATGTCCTATTTGAACAAAGCAGAGCTGGGAACTTTAGAAAGGAATACCTTAAATCCCAAATGCTTAATCCGAATATCCAATGTGGACACTTTTAATTTCTTACTTAATCCACCCTCTTTTGGATAATGTACAAAAAAATTAAGAACCGATATTTCAAAATTAGAAAGTTCCTTCCATTTCTGTACATTAATCCTAAATGGCTCACAAAATTTCAAATTTCCCGGCTTTTGGTACGCGACTCTGATTGGTTGAATTTTATACACTTTTCAGGATACAAGTACAAGATTTGGTCAGTCTCGAGATTAAGAAAAAGAGAGGATCAAGCATTAATCTCGATATCCACCATTCTAAAGTTCCCAGCTCGGGACAAATTATTGAGGATTTGTGTGAATCCTTGGTATGGGTTCCAGTAAATATCTAGCTCATCAACTTTGGAAAGATAAATTAACTTCTGAGAGCCTCTAGTCTACTCTTCATCTCCTCTAGGTCGTCTTCAACATCATCCTCCTCGGGTTCAGGAACCTCGTCCCGGCTCGCAGGTAGGGTATCTAAACAAAACTTTTAGTTTATACGTAATTAATCATTTAAAGAAAATAAATAAACAAAGAGTTAAATTTTTCGCAGATTTTCCCGTTTTAATAATGATTTTACCTAATTTCAGAAATAATTGTCGAAATATTGTGGAGGGGCTTAACAAAATTTCGACTGCCTCAAACCTTCTATGACACCCCTTAGAGGCTAGGGCTCGATCGATTCAATAGTTTAGACTTTCATTAATTACAAATTAAATGACTAAATAGAACTTAAGAAACTCAATTATGAAAGATAACTTAAGAAACTCGAAACTAAAATAATTAAGAAAACTTGACCCTGTAAATTATTTTTTGGAATTTGCAATAGCTTTGATGCGGAGGCGTGATGCGCAACAAATTCTGTGTAAAATATACAATTTGTGTTTGGATAACTTGTTAACAGAGGATTTGGCTGAATACGAAGTCTATATATTTGTTTATAGAGAAGTTTCTGATTTATAGCTTCCATGTTTTCTTTTATTTGGAAAATTGGATTTAGTAGTTTTCAAAACAGGGATGTTCAATACGAAACTTGTTAAACTAACTGTAGAGTTTCCGGTATCTTGAATTAACTATTAGATAAAATAAAAAAGTTAATATTTTTTGAGAGTTAGATATTCCATCTTCACTAAAACTTGTATGCAACCTAGCGAGATGTTTTTTTAATAAAAATCTGTCCTTGGCCCCCTTGTTTTTTTAATAAAAATCTGTCCTTGACGCCCTTGTTTTTTAATAAAAATCTGTCCTTGGCCCCCTTGTTTTTTTTAATAAAAATCTGTCCTTGGCGCCCTTGTTTTTTAATAAAAATCTGTCCTTGGCGCCCTTGTTTTTTAATAAAAATCTGTCCTTGGCCCCCTTGTTTTTTTAATAAAAATCTGTTCTTGGCGCCCTTGTTTTCATAATAAAAATCTGTCCTTGGCCCCCTTGTTTTTTTTTTTAATAAAAAATCTGTCCTTGATGCCCTTGTTTTTTAATAAAAATCTGTCCTTGGCCCCCTTGTTTTTTTTAATAAAAAAATGTCCTTGGCGCCCTTGTTTTTTAATAAAAATCTGTCCTTGGCGCCCTTGTTTTTTAATAAAAATCTGTCCTTGGCCCCCTTGTTTTTTTAAATAAAAATCTGTCCTTGGCGCCCTTGTTTTTTAATAAAAATCTGTCCTTGGCCCCCTTATTTTTTAATAAAAATCTGTCTTTGGCCCCCTTGTTTTTATAATAAAAATCTGTCAAGGGGACTATCCTAGCCGCATTTGTTTCCTTTATGAACGGTTTAGTTTTCACTAGATGTTGGGCCTTCTACAACAACAGCCTTTTTAAAATCTCATTTATATTTTCAGCAAAAATGTGTGTATTTTATATATTCAATACAGAGTGAAGTGCATTTTTATAATAATTTTCGGCTTAATAATTTTTTATTCTAGATGAACTTAATAAAACAACTTGGTTGAATTTAGTTAACTAATTTAATGACAGATAGTAATCAAGAACAAGTGTATTTTTCAATTTGAGGTAAAGGATTTATCCAAGTTTTCAACAAGGGGTGCTATGTGCACAATTATGTCAGTAGTGCAAGCGACTGTAATAATCTGTGCACGTACATAACAATATATCTTTTTAACACCGAATAAAGAAAAACTATGCACTTATCAACATTTGTCCAATGCAAACTAAAAGACAATAATATCCAAATTAGGATGACTTCCCACTTTTGACTACACATTTTCCATTGGAACCTTCAGGAAGGTTGTTTTCCCTTTTCTTCTGTCGATACTGGTGAAGGACAAGCTCAAAACTTTCTTTTTCGTTTGGTTTACTACTAACCAATTTCATTGCTAACCAAGCATGAAATAAGTAGTTACCCACAGTTTTTCCTTTGATGAATGCCTCGTGAAATTTTTCAATTTGATGGAGATCCAAATATTGTAGTTCGAATAATGCCAGGTTTCTTTGAATATTCAATCTAACATCAGAAGCACCTGGACTGCCATCTGGACTACCACCTGGACTGCCACCAGGACTGCCACCAGGACTGCCACCAGGACGCCCACCAGGACACCCACCAGGACTACCACCAGGACTGCCACCAGGATTTTCACCAGAACCCTCAAGCTCAAGACTGCAACCAGAAACCGCTACCAGAAACCACAAGGCTGCTACCAGAAACCTCAAGACTGCTACCAGAAACCTCAAGACTGCTTCCAGAACTGCTAACAGATGTTATCGCATAAAATGTGCCCTTTTTAAATATTAATATGTAAGCGCCCATAGTTATTTTTATATCCGCATAAACATCAATTTTCATACTTCATTTTGTTTGTCTATTTAGAAACACATAACTGTTTTAACCACAATTTTTTTTAGCTAATCCGGATTATCTAGATGTAAACTTAGATTTTCAGAAGACAAAAGGATTTTTGCTTGTTTCTCTAAGCCTTGAGACCTTAGCTCATGAAATGCAATTCTTAGCTTTTGAGCTCAGAAAAGGGGGGGGGGGCATGAAACTTATTACTCTCCGGAAAATTTAAACAGTGTTTAAACATAACTTAGAATTGTCGTAGGAGGCTGATTTTTTGCATGAAAACTCAGAATTATGTATATTACATGCATTTTTTGGTTTTGAAGGAATCTCAGCAAAAGTGCGCGTGCACGCTTTTTGTGAAAAAATGCGACTTTTTTGACAGTAAATCAATGTTAACTTCAATAATTGCAATTGAACATTTTTCTGACACTCTTGAAACAAATATGCGCTAAAAAAATTCACCTCCAAAGGCTTAAATGTCCGCGCGCGCGCGCAATAAAAGAAAATATCTTCGAATACTTATGTGCTAAGTTTGGCCTATGTTAGAATAACAGTTGCATGCGATACATCAAAAAAAAATTGGGACAAGGAATTCATTTCCGAGGTCAAAATAGACATTGGAGCATTCTGACCGGCGCGCTATTAGCCAACCATTACATTATGGGTCATCTTAGTACATTTTTTACATGTTATATGTCGATTTATAGGTAATTTGGCACGAGGAATTCATTTCTGATGTCAAAATAAATATTTGAGCATTCTGACCGGCGCGCTAGTATCCGGCAGTTACATTATGCATCATCTTCCCACATATTTACATGTTGTATGTCGATTTATTAAAGATTTTCCAATATCTATAAACAGTAAATAGGAAATATTTAAAGTATCAAGAAAGAACATTCTCTGTCATTTGACAAAACCATTTTTAAGCTTCACTTGCCAAATTATGTTTTTTTTAAAGCCAACAATTAAGCCAAAAGTTATAGAGTAAACTTGCAAAGAGATAATAATAACTTTGAACTTTAACATTACTGTGTCATGGCTTCAATTTTTTTAAAACCCTGTTAATTTTTAATAAGCTTTTTTTTCTTTCTCCCGGTAAAAAGAAAATTATACAATATGCATTGCTTACTTTCTGAGTTATTGATTATTTTCTTCATTTTAAATGTAACTAGGCTTTTAGGGTGCTTCGCGCCCATCTTCTATTTAAATTGTGAACATGTTCTTTTTGTTTTACAATTTAAAACAAAGAAGAAAGAAATTTTGCGGATTTAAAAAAAATTCGCTTATTTTCAAGAATTTAATTTTTTTTTACAAAATTAAAACCTTTAAAACTCATTTTTAAAATTTTTTTATCATTCATAAACCTTAATACCATAAACCTTTATTGGATACAAACAAACAGACAGACACCCAGACAGACAAGCCAAATTTATATATAGATGTTGTTTTTATTTGAAAATATTGTGTTATTCAATTTTTAAAATAATAATAATTGATAATACTAAAAGAGAAGTCAGTCAAGAGAATAAATACTTGAATTTAAATTATCGATGTTTTAATTGATTCTGCAGAAATGTTCGTAATCTTAATCAAGAACTAGGATTTCTGTGCGCTTGACCCGTCCTTTTCATATTTGTAATTACAACTCATTTTGGTTTATTATTTAACAATAACAAAAAAAACATAAGTTTGTTTTTATTGCCAATCATTAAAACGACATTATAAGAAATCCATTTCGTTTCCAGGATATTTTCTAATTCTTACTGGCCATAACCCCCCGGGGGGGCATGAAACTTATTACTCTCCGGAAAATTTAAACAGTGTTTAAACATAACTTAGAATTGTCGTAGGAGGCTGATTTTTTGCATGAAAACTCAGAATTATGTATATTACATGCATTTTTTGGTTTTGAAGGAATCTCAGCAAAAGTGCGCGTGCACGCTTTTTGTGAAAAAATGCGACTTTTTTGACAGTAAATCAATGTTAACTTCAATAATTGCAATTGAACATTTTTCTGACACTCTTGAAACAAATATGCGCTAAAAAAATTCACCTCCAAAGGCTTAAATGTCCGCGCGCGCGCGCAATAAAAGAAAATATCTTCGAATACTTATGTGCTAAGTTTGGCCTATGTTAGAATAACAGTTGCATGCGATACATCAAAAAAAAATTGGGACAAGGAATTCATTTCCGAGGTCAAAATAGACATTGGAGCATTCTGACCGGCGCGCTATTAGCCAACCATTACATTATGGGTCATCTTAGTACATTTTTTACATGTTATATGTCGATTTATAGGTAATTTGGCACGAGGAATTCATTTCTGATGTCAAAATAAATATTTGAGCATTCTGACCGGCGCGCTAGTATCCGGCAGTTACATTATGCATCATCTTCCCACATATTTACATGTTGTATGTCGATTTATAGGTTATTGGGAACAAGAAATTCATTTCCGAGGTCAAATTTAATATTGGAGCATCGACGTGCCAGCTTCCTGCAGTCACCTTCTGGGTCATCCTTTCATATGTTTTGCATGTAGTATGTCGATTCTTGGGAACTAGCAACAACGATTCTCTTTCTTAGGTAAAAAAAATTAAGTTTCAGGACTCTGATCGGCGCGCTGCTGGCCATAGGGTAATTTTGGGTTCAACCTATCATAGTTTTTCATGTTGTGTGTAATTTTATAGGTATTTAGATCAGAGCAATCCATTCCTGTGCACAAAACTAATTTTTAAGAACAATTGTAAGAAGAAGAATGATATTAGAAATGAATCATTTTTTTTTATGATAGGTTGAACCCATAATTACCCTATGGTCAGCAACGCGCCGATCAGAGTCCTGAAACTTAGTTTTTTTACTTAAGAAAGAGAATCGTTGTTGCTAGTACCCAAGAACCGACATACTACATGCAAAACATATGAAAGGATGACCCAGAAGGTGACTGCGGGAAGCTAGCATCCATAATGTAATGGTTGGCTACTAGCACGCCGGTCGGAATGCTCCAATGTCTATTTTGACCTCGGAAATGAATTCCTCATGCCAAATTTCCTATAAATCGACATACAACATGTAAAAAATGTACTAAGATGACCCATAATGTAATGGTTGGCTACTAGCGCGCCAGTCAGAATGCTCCAATATTTAATTTGACCTCAGAAATCAATTCCTTGTGCCCAATAACCTATAAATCGACATACAACATGTAAATATGAGGGAAAATGACCTATTATGTAACTGCCGGCTACTAGCGCGCCGGTCAGAATGCTCGAATATTTATTTTGACATCAGAAATGAATTTCTCATGCCAAATTACCTATAAAATCAACATACAACATGTAAAAATGTACAAAGGTTACCCATAATGTAATGGTTGGCTACTAGCGCGCCGGTCAGAATGGTCCAATAATAAATTTGACCTCAGCAATAAATTCCTTGTCCCAATTTTGCTATATTTTGATGTATCTCATGCAACTGTTCTTCTAACTTAGGCCAAACTTAGCACACAAGTATTCAAAGACATTTAAGCCTTTGGAGGTAAATTTTTTTTAGCGCATATTTGTTTCAAGAGTGTCAGGAAAAATGTTCAATTGCAATTAATGAAGTTAACATTGATTTACTGTCAAAAAAGTCGCATTTTTTCACAAAAAAGCGCGCGCGCACTTTTGCTCAGATTCCTTCAAAACCAAAAAATGCATGTAATATACATAATTCTGAGTTTGCATGCAAAAAATCAGCCTCCTACGACAATTCTAAGTTACGTTTAAACACTGTTTAAATTTTCCGGAGAGTAATACGTTTCATGCCCCCCCCCCCTTTCGTAAAGAACTCATACCTCTTGTTTAAACGCACTTATCAGTCATATGAAGACCAAATATGAAGACATTTTATTTTAAAGTTTTAAAATTATACATTATGCGACTCTACTATTTTGCTATTATATTCAAAATAAAATCTGTGCAATTTTCATAAAAAGAACAAATATTTTTGCAAAACTTACAAGGACAAATTTAAGTACCAAATCCTTACATTCATATGAAATTTTTTTTAACTACTTAGCAAAGTACGTATTAGAAAAAAGTATTCATTTCCTAAAAACGGAGAAAGACGAAAGGAAATATATGAAAGAGTCCCCCCCCATATCATGTCTTAGAAAATCGAGCATAATATAACTTCCAAAAAAAACTTTTCACCATCTAAAACTATAGAAGATAATGTAGAGCTGCAACATGTTTGTATATTGTTCTGACAATACAAGGACATTTGCTCCACATGGTGCACACTCGATTTAGGTTTAGTAAAACCCACGGAATATCTCAAATATATATCTTTTATGGAAAACCAGGCCGCAGGGTCTTGCCAACTAATATCTCACAATATTTTATTATAAATAGAAAAACAATTTAGACGACATTTTCTTGTAAAAGAAAAACATTTTCTCGAATCTTTTACCAGTGGTGTGGTGGGATAAATGTATAATTTATAAATAAATATGTAAAATTGTCTTGAATTTTTATCATGAATCTTTGAAGTAAACAATAAATATTTACGCAGATTTTCTTGTTTATCTTGTTGAATTTTTAAAATTTATTGGACAAATATTTTTTTTATCCTTAACAGTAGAATGTCACACCTCCGTTATCAACTAAATTTCGAATTACACAAATAAACAAAACACCTAGATTTGTTAAACTAAAAACTTGGGGCTGTTTTGTAGGTTATTCTGCCTTCTTATAGCATGACAAAAACCCATGCATTTTCTGTAGAATTACTTTTACTATCACTAAAACAACTGAAAAAGAATGAAATTATGTACTCACGGAAGATTTTTAAACCTAGTAAAATAAAGAGGGGGGGCGGAGGGATGGAGTTTGACTGTTATAACGTTGTTTATTTTTCCGGGATCAATATTACCACGGAGACTTGTGATCTGATCTTCTCCTGGTTTACCTTTCAAAGCATCTGGAGCAGTACCAAGAGCTCCAGCAGTCAACTCTAGGAGGATCTTATCTATCTCCTCCTGGGCAGCATCCTCCTCTTCCTCCCCCTCTAAACCTTCCATAGTATCCTCAACCATCTCCTCCAATATACCTGCCTTCATCATCTCTCTAGATACATTATCATCATTATCATCATTATTATCATTATCATCATTATCATCATTATCATCATTATCATCATTATCATCATTATCATCATTATCAACATTATCATCATTATCATCATTATCATCATTGTCATCATTGTCATCATTGTCATCATTGTCATTATTGTCATCATCGTCATCATTATCATCATTATCATCAATTTTACTGGCATTATTTTCATTATCATTAATTTTACTGGCATGAATTGTCAAGACTATGATTTAATCTGTACTATTAATTATTTCATTTTAATATTTTAAATTGAGTATTTGGGATGAAATCCCCCCAAAAATTGTAACTTTAAAATACTCTGGAAATTTTTGGCATTAAATTGTAGCTGATATTTTTGTTCTAAAACATCCTTTAGAGTTCTGGTTATAATCAACCACTTCGATTTTATCACTTTTGTCAACTTTTTTGTTGACCAACCTTTCAGCAGTTGTCACGTTTAATTGAAAACAAATTTAATCCAATTTAATCTAGATTGAGTACTGTATAGTCACTGCAGTAAAAATTCATTAAATAAGTAATACAAGACACTGCGGCATTAAACAAGTGTACGGGGGACAGCTGAAGTTTAAACATTTCAAGGATTATTGGTTTATAGTTTAGAAGAGGATTAAACTCAAAGTTAAATCGGTTTAAACCAATAAATTCAACCTATAGATAGAATTTCCTTTAACCATCATTTACTAATAAAAAAAGGTGATTTCAAGTGACCCTCCATGAAAATTGAAATTACTCGTACAGTCCCTTTAAAGATAGCTTTACCGGACCCCTATTTTTGAGGTTATAGACTTGGAGTAAAAGGTATTTTAGATTGTTTAAATGCTAAGAAAACTTAAAACAATGAATGTGAATGTACCCTTGTTAAACCCGTGTTGAATTTAGAGGAAAAACAGACAAATAACTATTTAAGGTCAATCTTTATCTTTCCTATCTTTTTTATGATAAACTAGCTGAAGTGCCCGGCGTTGCCCGTGGATAAAAATCTATTTTTTATCATTTGTCACCCCCCGGCTACCTATGAGTGTCCACAAAAAATTTCAGTCCATTCAGTCCAGCCATTTGGCCGACTTTAGGGAACATATATACAAATGTCTGTTTTATTATATAGATTGTTATGGGCGGAGAGGATTTAAAATTTTTTTAAATTTAAATTTAATTTCAAAAATGGATACAGGGTAGGCAAGGGGGCAGTGCCCCCCTAGACCTGTGAAAGGGGAGGCGTATCCCCCCCCCCAGAACTGAGAGCTTTCACACTTTTTAAATCTTAAACTCAAGAGTGAAGAACATAAAAAAAAATAGTTTGCTGTTCATTCAGTGCGCTCAGATTGTATACGTGGACCAGAGACACCATGACAGAACTCTGAATAAAAAATCTATTTAGAATGCACATTCATTCTAATCGGATGGGCGCTATCAGGGATAGGGAGTAAAACAATTTTTAAATGCCAAGCCACGAAGGCTTGAGTTTGGAGGTAGTAAAAGACCGTTTTTTTTTAAATTTGGATTTAATTTACTTTATTCATTGCAACGCCGTTTTGTGATCTTTCTTTTTATTACAAACTAGCTGAAGTGCCAGGCGTTTCCCGCGGGATTTTAAAAATCCAATTTAAACAAAAACTTGTAATTTATTTAGCTTATGTCATCCCCAAGGGTATCCATGAGTTTCCTCATTCAGTCCATTTGATTCAGCCGTTTAGCCAGCCATAGCAAACATACAAATAAACGAAGACTACAATTGTACTCTTACTTTTTTTCAAAACAGAAACTTTTACAAGTACTTTGTCCTTTTTTCATCTCATAGAATTTAAGTTTAAGTTGAGTTTTTCATTTTTAAAAATGTCTTTTACTATCTCGATTTTTCAGAAACAATGCTTTTTTCTGCTAGTTTTGTTTGAAGGAGAGATGAAGTATTGTACATGAAAGGTATTGGACTATGTGAACCTTTTAAGTACCTTATACTAAAGCTTGATAACCAAGAAGCCAAAAGTTTTGAATTTACAGTTCAAATTTTGCCCACCCCTAGATTTATTTCTGTATACGTCCTTTGATAACGTTAACAAACGACAGCAATAAATATGTCTATTAAACATTTATCATAATATTAAATTTCCCAATATATACTTTTCTATTTTCCATTAAAGATTATTATTAAAGATTTCCCAATATATACTTTTCTATTTTCCATTAAAGATTATTATTAAAGATTTCCCAATATATACTTTTCTATTTTCCATTAAAGATTATTATTAAAGATTTCCCAATATATACTTTTCTATTTTCCATTAAAGATTATTATTAAAGATTTCCCAATATATACTTTTCTATTTTCCATTAAAGATTATNCCCACACCACAAATAAAATATTTTGGTTTAGCCGTTTTAACTCTTGTTGGAAAAAAATAAACAAACCAAATACAATGGCAGCAAAATTGATAACAAACAAACATGTTAAATAAATAATATCTTTCGTCAAACATGGCAGAGAGAAAAGCATATTCTGGGAAAACAAAAGTTTTTGTACAAATGTGTTTTCAGACTTTGGTTTTGATAAAATAACAAGAAAACTTTCTTCCAAGACCACAACTGAAGAACAAACTTTTCAGAAAAGTTTAAAAAATAATAAACTTAATTTTGTCCTGATGTTATTCTATCCTCACTTCCTTTATCCTTACCTAGATAGTTCCTTTATCCTTACCTAGATAGTTCCTTCATCCTTACCTAGATAGTTCCTTTATCCTTACCTAGATAGTTCCATTATCATTACCTAGATAGTTCCTTTATCCTTACCTAGCTAGTTTCTTCATCCTTACCTAGATAGTTCCTTTATCCTTACCTAGATAGTTCCTTCATCCTTACCTAGATAGTTCCATTATCCTTACCTAGATAGTTCCATTATCCTTACCTAGATAGTTCCTTCATCCTTACCTAGATAGTTCCTTCATCCTTACCTAAAATAGTTCCTTCATCCTTACCTAGATAAATCCTTTATCCTTACCTAGCTAGTTCCTTCATCCTTACCTAGATAGTTCCTGCATAGTTTTCTGTATCTCTGGTAGCCTAACTAAGGACTGCATAGATTTCATCACTTCCGTAGAGGTTTGAAGGGCTCCAGTCACCTTGGCAATTTTTTTATTTTATTACAATTTCAATCTCATTTTACAATATAAAATCACCTTTTTTGATTAAATTTGGTTTACAGTTCTTTTTATCTAAGGTTTACTTTTAGTGGAGCTGACCCTTCATCTGTAGCTGTATTGATTTTAAGTATACCTTGAGTGTAGCAAGCTGACCCTTCATCTGTAGCTGTATTGTGTTTAAGTATACCTTCAGTGTAGCAAGCTGACCCTTCATCTGTAGCTGTATCGTGATTAAGCATACCTTGAGTGTAGCAAGCTGACCCTTCATCTGTAGCTGTATTGGGTTAAAGTATACCTTGAGTGTAGCAAGCTCACCCTTCATCTGTAGCTGTATTGTGATTAAGTATACCTTGAGTGTAGCAAGCTGACCCTTCATCTGTAGCTGTATTGTGTTTAAGTATACCTTGATTGTAGCAAGCTGACCCTTCATCTGTAGCTATATTGGGTTAAAGTATACCTTGAGTTTAGCAAGCTGACCCTTCATCTGTAGCTATATTATGTTAAAGTATAACTTGAGTGTAGCATGCTAACTCTTTATCTGTAGCTGTATTGTGTTTAAGTATACCTTGAGTGTAGCAAGCTGACCCTTCATCTGTAGCTATATTGGGTTAAAGTATAACTTGAGTGTAGCATGCTAACCCTTTATCTGTAGCTGTATTGTGTTTAAGTATACCTTGAGTGTAGCAAGCTGACCCTTCATCTGTAGCTGTATTGAATTAAGGTTCGCCTAGTTCAACACATCTAATAAGAATAGGATCAAGAGTTTTTTTCTAGTAAAATGATTTTTCTCCCCTTCTCCCTTTTTTTTGCCCAAGAAATTATTTATGCTAGCGTAAAGAGCAACACAATGTTAAAGTGTTTTATTCGCTGAATGGGGAATATAAATGATTTTTGGGGGAAATTAATGAATGTTTGGGTAAAAAGTATGAAATGTATGAAGAAAGTTGCCCATTGATGTCCAATTTGTCACGTTTATAACCAATCCTACAATAGAATAATATTAGAAGTTTGTTCCTTAGCAGTATAGAGTTTATTAACAGATTTCCTCGCATGAACAACCTCCTTAGCTAAGATGAGACAAACATCTTTATCTCCCTTCTTAGCTGCCTCTTTCAGGGATCTGGTTACCTTAGTATATAAAGGGTAAGTTAATTCTTATTCAAATGACCTTCTATTAAAAAGGGATGTCCCTGGTACACAACTGTACCCTTTAAACAAACAAATTTACTCAGAAAAAAGGTTTAAAGGGTACCGTTAAGAATAGAATCAGACATGTAACTTTTTAAATGGAGGATTACTTGAAATCACTTCGACGGTTGATAAAGAATGTAAAAGGGGTGAAAACAGATTTTTTTTTAATTGGAAACCTTACCTTTAATTCCTCACGTTTGATCCCATTAATCTGTCGATCTATATTGTATCCTTCCTTTCGTATTTTCTTGGTCCATTCATTCACCTGCTCCTAGAGAAACCAGTATTTTCAAAGATTCGGAGAAAAATACTTGCAAGTTTTAATTGCTTTTTTTCTTAAGTAACTTTTTCTTTTTCTCTCCAAAAAGTAAAATGAGTGATTAAAAATCCATTCTCTAAAATGTGTGAAAACCTAAATAATGTGCAGAAAAATTGTATCAACGTGGCCCCACTTAAACATAAGAGCTAATGACATGTTTATTTCAAAGAAATACATTTTGGAAAAATCTTGTAAATTAAGAACTTTTCTTGTTGAAAACCGTTATTATGTTCTATACTTTTCAAAACAACGTCAGTGAAGAGATTTAAAAATTTCTTTTTTCTTCAAAACATTTATCAAATAAATATTTAATATAATGCTTATTAAATTTAAATATTTTCACTGAAGAACCTGCAAGAAATGAAAAAAACTCTTGTTTAAAAATACACTTAATAAATTTAAATTTTTTAATTTACATTTTATCAAAAAATATGTTAATCTCTCGTAAAAATTAGGAATAATAGTTGCAAGTTTACAAACTGTGGATAAATCATTCTAGAAGATATTAGGTTTCTACTTTTTAGATCTAGAATCTCCTTGCAGTGACTTGAAACTGATTTTTGGTGAACTTTGACATATGGGACACCAATTCTATAAAATCTTTGAAAAATCTAAAAACGCTTGTAGAATTTATCTAATGGTTTTTAAAGATTTACGTCTCATGTTAAATCTATTTTTTACCAATATTAATAATTTTCCGATTCTGGAAATTGTACCCTCTGAGATTCTGAAAGCTGTTATTAATAGCAAATTCCAGTTTTATATTGGAAATAGAAAACATTGCAGTTTCCATTAAATATAATATTTCTTACAATTTCTGGGGGACAGCTAACAGCTCAGCAAGACAGAAAGAAAGAAGGAGTTTAGGATAACATTTATTAAAGGGACTGTTCAGGAATTATTATAAAAAAGCTATAAAAAAAATTTTTTTTTCTTGAAGTATTCTAAAGATCAAATAGAAGTTTTAAATGTTCTAAAAACATAAAATCAATTCAGTATTTTGTAGGTCAAAAAATGTCTTGGTCTATATTTGATGAATAGCAGAAGCAGCTAAGCTGCGTAAGCTTAATTGAACCCCTTCTCTTCAGATTGTTCCTGAGCACAAGAGAACTGGATGAACCAGTCGTATGTAGTTCAATTAGGTCTCACTATTTAATAAATCTGGTCCTTGGTATAAACATAAAGTATTAAATAACCAGTAAAATTGAAGCTAAACCTCACTATTTAATAAATCTGGTCCTTGGTATAAACAAAATTATTAAATAATCAGTGAAATTGAAGCTAAACCACTTACCTTAGGATCTACAGGTTTAGATTTCCCGAATATACCCATCATAACACTACTAGACAAACATATTTCTAACCTTAATCTGAAATAAATATTTAGGAAATTTCAAGCTTCAATAATTTAATCCTAATAAATCAAGGCTGCGAACTTTTAAATGGTGGATATCGGTATTAATCATAGAGAATAGAATATATAGAGAGGAATTAAAAGAATCTCTCGGTATGAATTTTTTCAGTCCCTTTCAGCCTGAAAGGGAGTTCAAAGTGTACAAATCATGTAAATGTTCACAAATTATATGCAGTAGAGTACATTAATACAGTATCTTCCCGAGACTATCCATTTCAATTTCGAATTCTTTGAACTGTTAAATAAACTTTATAAAATGAATTAGGTGAATAAAAATCATCATTTGATTTATAGTTAGAACGGAAAATCATCGTTTGTAAAGTAAAAGGCATAGAGTCTATGTGAAATGATCATTGGTCAATTATGAAGCCAGCCTATTTCATAATTTGGGTTTCTTTTAACAATAATTTTAGATTTTCTATAAAATGATATTCCAGGGCCCAACAGGTTATATAGCATAAATATGTGAAGTACACCTGCAGTATGGAAACAGTACAACAAAATGGCCGTTTTACACTTTTTTCCAGTAAATTCCTCTCTATATATTCTATTCTCTATGGTATTAATGCTTGATCCACTCTTTGTCTTAATCTCCAGATTTCATACTGCTTGTTTTCCTCTTTTTATTAATCTCCAGATTAATTAACCGATCGGGATTAAGGATATCCCATTCTAAAATTCCGAGGTTTTTGAGTATTTCCATTACTTATTTCATATTTTACTAATAATAAATATATCAAAACAATGCACCAGTATTTTGTCGACATTTTTTTTTAACCTATCCCTCAATAGACTTTAATAAATGCAAGCATTGACGGCGTGATATTCGAGTCTTGATTAAGAATTGATCATGAATTTGTTTCATTTTTTCAAACCCTTGATCCAAATTTAAATACTCTACTTTGATATTTTCTAAAATTGACTCATTATTTACGTAGGTTAAATTACTATTGGATATCACAGAAGAGCAAGATAATTTTACATTACATGACTAAAAAGATTTTTTTTTTCTTCAAAATTTTAGTATTTTTTCGAATCATTATTTTGTATAGAAATTTAAAATCTATTGTTTTAATCTTTCATAATTCACATAAACGTTCTTGAACATATTCATGACTGAATTCTGAACACTATTAAATTCATCGACTGACAAATCTATATATTAAAAATAAAGTACGAATGTAAAAAAAAACTTTTAAGTAATTTTTCCTAAAAATCTTTTTTATCTGTGAAATATTGTGAAGATATTTATAGTTGAGTTCCTTGTTTGTGCCCAAATTAATCATAGTAAAGGTAAAGATAAGAACATACTAGATCATGTGACCTAATCTTCCTTTTGAACTACAGGGGGAATCAGCACTTCAGGGGTGTATATTTTCTTGAAAAATCATTCACAACCCTTTTTAAAAATCATTCACTACCCTTTTTGAAAATAATTTTTCCCCCAGAAGAAAGGTTTGTTTAAGTTTTTTAAGGGTTTTATGCGCTGAATTGGTAAAAAAAAATACATTTTCGGACAGTGGTAAAAAGTATGAAAATGGATGAAAAAACATGTCTTTACAAGGATTATTATTATTATTATTATTATTATTACCAATCAACCTATAGACAAAATGAAAACAGGGCTGAGTTCCTCCACTTGCCCTGGTCTGTATGGGATCTAGTGGTTCAGATCTGGCCTGAATTTTTTTAGGATTCAGAGTGTATGCCAGAAAAGCAAGGATACTAGGGGATAAATAAAGAGGGCGGTTCAAAAGCACTTAAAGATTACGGTACACACCTCCGCAGAGTTTATTTATTTGATAAAAATGTGGTTTATACATGTCCAGTTTTTGAATTTTTACCCGGATTTTCAAAAGTAATTCTTAAAAATATTCACCTCTGGGAGTTAATTTTCACTAAAATATTAATTTAAATTCTAAATTTTTTTTAATTCCCCCCCCCCCCTTAAAACAAACAAATCAATCAACCAATCAATCAATCTATTAATCAATCAATTAATGTAGTATTAGACGAGTACAATTTGTAGTGTAGAATCAGGATCAGATTTTAATGTTTCCAAACTTAATCTTTTCTTCCGACAGGTTCCCATGTGGTTTGATGCTGTACTTGCCTAGGTTCAACAGATCTTTAAGTTTTAAACTTTACAAAACAAGTTTAAAAGATTGAACCAGGGAAAATTTTGGTTCTAAAGTAAGGAAGTTGAGGTATAAATATATCTTAAAGAATGAAAACATTTCTCAGTAATTGGCAGTTTTATTGCTCTAACTTGAAATAGATAGAGAGGGGCCTTTAAGATTACAAATGCAAAAATATATTCTCAAGTATATTCTCAAGTATTAAAGTCTTTTAAATCTGGAAATGTTTATTTCCAAGAAATACGGCTGGGAACCGAGTAGGGTTCTCACAGATTTAAACGGAAATAAATTCCCTTGAATTTAAATATGGCAAGAATTATATTTAAATGAAAAAATCCTCCCTGAGTAAACCAAGCCCCACAGAGGGTGCAGGGATAGGGTCGCTCCCCACTGTGAGTGCGACAATGTCGCCTGAATGCCGCAACGTCGGAGAAACAGCGTCCGCAGCGGGCACAGGCGTGTGGTTTTTCACCCGTGTGAGTACGTATGTGTAGTTGTAGATTGTATGATCTTGAGAAGGCTTTACTGCACATAGTACACTGAAATATTGGTATAACTATAAATCAAACAGGAGCTTATATAAAAATAAAAGGTGTTATATTTGATTTATTTACTGTTATTGAGAGCAGTCAAATAAAAACGATATATTTGCTTAAAGTGAAATACCTGAAAAGGTTTCTCTCCCGTATGAACCCTCATGTGTATCTTTAGATCGTATGGTTTTCTAAATACTGCGTTGCATTGATTACAAGTTGATGCTGAGGACTTTGGTTTAGGGTCATCAACACTTTCTTCAGCCTTTATATCATCAAGTCTCGCCTCTGCAGACTTCTTGTGTACATTCATCTTGTGTCTTTTTAATTGACTTTTACGCTTAAACTTCTTCCCGCAAGAAGCACAGGAAAACAAGATGGAAGGTGAGTGTTCTGATTGATGTCGTTTCCAATTGTTCCGATCACCAAAGACGGCTCCGCACTTGTTGCAAACATGTTTGATCTCAGCGTGAACGTTTCTATGATGTCTGCGGAGCACAGATGGATCAGAGAACTCTTTCGAACAACCTGGAAGCAAACCTAATATAATCATAACGGTTTTAAAAATACTGTCGACTTTAAAGGGAGTGTATACGAAATATCAAGTGACCATCCATTGAAAAAGTGGCATGTCCGAATAACTATGGTACCATCTAAACCTTTACATTTATAAGGATGACGGAAATATTCTTGTTGTTCCAGCTGAAAGAAGTAAAAAAAGTGCATAGAACCATGTGAGGTCAGTATCCCAGCCCTGTTCACGTAGTTAGAAAATTGTGATCAATGATCACAAGGTTTAAAGATACACATTCTTGAACGAAAATAACTCTCCATCAATAAAGGTTCGTTTTAAATTAAGGCTGTAGTCCCTTCAAGGGAGAAAACCAGAATTGATTTCAGGGAATTCAAAAGTTAAGTGATTAATTCCAAAACTTAAATGAGTTACTTTCAGGAAGAAAAATTTACACTAATTTAAATTCTACGCTTAAGCAACGAAATCAGAACTTAGTTCCAGAATTTCTAACACTCTAACAATATTGACGAGAAAGTTACGATGTTAAGATTCCTAGAAATTTAGAAAACTTTTTTCCACATTCTTTTTTTAACCCAAATATTGAAAAAAAATTGTTTCTAACTATACCGCCCCCTACGTTGCAATGTTTAATTGAATTAGGGGCTAAAATTTTGAATAATTGAAAAACTTCCTTATCTGTGAAAATGCATGAACTGTTTTCCCATCTTTAGGGTTAAATATTCTTCAGAACAATATTAAAAACTTAAAAACTTCAGAGGGAGAAATTAAGACGTAGTTAATAATTTGTTTCCCAATAATTTTTTCGCTTTAAATTTTTTTCTTTTGTAACATTTATGCCTGGTAACAAAATTTAAGGGAGGGGGGGGAGTATGGAAATTTTCACCAAAATATATACCCCTGAATATATAACCCTGAATATATACCCCTGAATATATACCCCTGAATAACTTTCTAACTTATGTAAATTCAAAGTCGTGCAACTACATCTTAACCAACTTCATTCTTAGCTGAGAAAATACAATATGTCAAGTTAAATGAATTTCATGGTAGCTCTTTTCTCTATACTCCACACAAAAGAATAAATTTAACTAATTCTTTAAAATAAATTATCCTTCAAATAAAATAAAATTTATCTTTTAGGAAGTGTTTGTAAACTGCACAGTGCACAGACAGTTTAGGAGAATTTTTCAAACAATATTTAAGTTTAGGATTCTGTGCAGTGTGCAATGTGCATAATATTTTTTTTGTATTCAATTGTTCTAGTTTTTACCCAATCTATCAATATATACTTTGCTTGTTTTGGTGTCTGTCCGTTTATTTGTTTGTATTCAATAAACGTCAAAACGGATAAAACGATCGGGCCCAAATTTTTTGTGGTACCTCACGTGACCCCAGGAGATGTTTATGGATGATCGAATTTTCAAAAAAAAAAATTTTGTTCTACAATGTCTACAAAGAGAAAATGTTCCCTAAATTTACAAATAAAACTTTAAAAGCCTTTGCTGTTAGTAATAATTTTAGCTTTTAAATGTTTCTTTCATTGTCATTTTTTGTTCGTACATCATAAACTAAAAAATCTACAGATTTTCTGTTAAAATTAGTAGATTTCTTTATATTTAAAGGTTCTCAATTCCTTCCTGCACAATATAAAAACATTTAAATAGTCTTTAAAAACCACAAATCAAGCTTAAATTTAAAATTGATTTATTACTTATCATAGTATTTCCTTTAAGCGAAATATTTCTTCAATATATTATTTTATGTATTTGTTACCTGTAAAATTGCATGGATACTTCTTGTTACTGTGAGTTTCTCGATGGATTTTCAGATGATATTTGGAACTTATACTTTTATTGCATAAATCACATTTAAAAGTTTCTCCTTTATGAAGTTTTAAATGGTTTTCATAACTTTCACTCTTGAAAAACTTGAGTTTACAAAATGGACACTTTTTACTAATTTGGAGTTTAGTGTCACGTGGCATTTTTGAGACAACCGTGTACTGTCTTGTTGGAGATTTGTGATACTCGACGTCAAGACAATTCTGCTTATTCTAAACATTATTATTAAACAATCTAGAAAACAATAACTATGCTTCTTTAGCTTTGGGATCAAAATTATAATAATAAAATAATTAGGTGTTTTGATAATGTTTCTTTGTCGACAGATATTTCATAAGAATAACATCCAATTAACCTATTAATGGACTATCAGGTGTAAAGTCAAAACAACTAAATTTATTCTTTGGAATATATTAATATGCAGTCTCATTATCTCAATTTTCAGAAAATGCTACCTAGGAATTTTAAGTAAATCCATTTTAAAGAAATTGTAGAAATCAAATATATTTTCTGTTCTAAACTGAAACGTAACTGTAGTTTCAAGGATTAATCAAGCTTATTCTGTGTTTTTTTGAGATATTTTAAGAACCGTTAATCGCAAGGTCCCCAAATTTTGTGAATTTTTCTTAACAGTCATAAGACATGTGTTAGCAAAAAATCAAGCCTTAAGTGAACTGTATATTGCCTAATTTCTACCTAAAAAAGTCTTTTTGAAGTAAAATAAGTAAAAAATTACATCAAAAAGACTTTCCCGGGCCATATTTTGACAGTCAGGCAGTTCACTTAGAGGTTTGATTTTTTGCTACAATATGTTGCACGACTGTTAAAGAAAAATTAAAAAATTAGAGACATTGCCATATACTTTGAAAAAATAGCGTCAAAAAACAAAGAAGCAGATTAAAGTCTTGAAACATAGTTTACGTTTAATTTTAGACCTGAGAATGCACTTGATTTCTACAATTTCTTAAAAATGGTTTTACTTTAAATTCCCTGGGTGGCATTTGAGATTATAACTCAGTAGACTGCATATTAATATATTCCAAAGTAAAGTTTAGGTGTTTTGCCTTGAAACCTTGAAACCTGGTGGTCCATTTTCAGCAGTGTGAAGCAGATATAGAAGAAAATTACCAACAAAAAAGTATAAAACCAAATCAGTAATTTAAGATAATTCTTGCTTTTGTAAATTTGTTTTACATATGAAAAGTAAATAATTTTTATTTAAAATTATTTATTTTTAGCAAATAATATCATCGAATAAGACAAATAAGATGGGTTTTGCATAAAAATAGTATATTAAATTGAAGTCAAGTTAACTAAAAAAAGGAGAATAAGAAAATTTCTTTAAAAATATTTATTCAAATTAAGGTTTAAAAAATAATTGAAATGAACAAAATGAACAGAATATTAAGGGGAGAAGGGGATAGAATAGCTAAAAGTAGCTGAACTAGGTACGGATTATTGAAGTAAATCAACTACTCTACTTTTTTACAGTAATCCTTCCAATTAAAATTTTGGACCTTTTTTCACAATATTACCTTTGATTTTTCCTTCTGTTCCTGGAACTTGCACGAGGATTGTCCAGGGGGCGCTTCCTCTAATATATCAGGAGATGGGCAGGGGTCCAGTGATACTCTCCTAATATAAGAATATACTAAGAAATAAGTCCAGTGCTTAGGATCCATCTAATTTGATGCGAATCCCCACTGAAAAAATTGATCCGGATCATAAACATTTAAGATTTACAGATTTTTTTGAGAACGCAGATTTTTTGCTTATTTTTATGCTAAAACTTGATAAACCATTCAAAAGTAAGGAAATGTTTATAATCTATCTTTTTTTCAACAGTTCAGATTTGGGTTTTGAGAGTAAAAAAGTTTTTTTTGCTTTTTTCGTTGATATTTTGCCCCGTGGATCCGCATATTTTGCGGATCCGGATCCAGGTGGCCAAAATGTTGCGGATCCAACGGATCCAGATCCTGAGCACTGGAAATAACATAGTGACAATTCATACTGACAGCTTTCTTTTCTTACGCAGTATCAATGTTAATGTTTAAATTACAGGGAAAATTAGTTCCAAAACTAACACTTAGCCCATTTCAAACAATGAGTGTTAGAAATGGGCCAAATCTGCAAAGTTATCTTTTTCAAGCGTATATATCTCTAAATCCAAGCCGAGTTGAAAAAAACTACACCGTACATTTATTAAAAGTGGTTAAAACTAATTATTGAAACAGGAAATGTCCACTTTAAACTAATAAAAAGGCGTGAGAACTAGTTTTTGATGATATTGGTTTTCATTTTTAAACATATCCCTATTTAGAAACAATTACCGCATTTCAGTGCATGTCGCGTTTTCGCGATAAGGTAAAAAAAATAGAAAAAAAATCTATTGTTCTCTATAATTTAAAAATCATTTAATATTATTTTGTTCTGAACTAGAAATCCGGGAAAATGTTTACTTAGAATGCGGGAAATTAAATCAACTTTATTCTCTTATTTAACAAATAAAATAGGGAAATTAAGATTTTAGAAATAATTTAACAGTTAATTTAATCTTCATAAGATAATTTTAACTTTGAGTGATTTATTTTGTAAGTTATAAAAATGAGTTTTGCTTTGAATTGAGGATTATACTCAAAAACGAGAAAGTGGGTTTTGTCTTGAAAACGCGACAATTATTCAAATTCAGGAGATGTTCGAAAATGGAAAACCTGACATTGTCTTGAAAACGGTCAAGGGTTTTATTATAAAAAGAACTCCTTTCATAATTTTAATTTCAGAAAATAGTTTTTAATTGGGAATCGTCCTCGTCATGCTTAATATAATGTTGGTTGTAGTTTTAATTATCGACTTCTACTCTCGATATGGGCTGGGATCCTAAAAACCCAGTCTTTCAAGTGTTTGTTTTGGAACTAATGTCCCCTGCATTACACAGTGTATACAGTGTGATCAGACTTGAGCTTCCATTTAAGATCCAATGAATTTACTCCGTAATGAGCTAGGTCAATATAAACCTTTTAGGATTAATATTTATTTAGCTAATTCTGATTTCTCTTTTGATTAAGTAATCAGCGTCTGATGGGGATAATGATGGGGAAAATTGTTCCACTTGCTTTACGATACCCCTTGAATTTATTTATAACCAGGAACCATGGCAGGATCAAATTAATGAATCAGAACTTCGTGTTGTGAACCTTGCAACAACCATTTTAATACGCTTTTTCGTTTCTTCTCTCCTAATAAGTCATAATAATAATATTTTGTAATTGATTCCACTTACCCGTCATCTTTACTGGATTGGAAGCCAGTGTAAAGACGCTGTGGAGAACTAGTGGAAACCTAGAAACACTTATCTTTTTTATCATTAAATATATCATTAAAACTCATTCAAGAGATTAGAGGGAATTAAATTTTGAACCTCTCCCCCCCCCCCTCCTTCTAAAAACCTAATTCTTAGTAAATTCATGAGTTACGTTTTCTGTATTGTATTTTCATTTAAAAATTCTTAATGAATGTTTAAATATAATTTTTGAATAATGCTACAAACCTGAGTATCTGAGTGTGGTATTTGTGCATCTACACAGGAAATCTGTCCATCCACATGTGGTAGAGAATTCGCAAGGGATATTTGAGAACTAGCGTGAGTATTTTGGGAGTCCGCGTGTGATATCTGTGTTATTTGTGAACCCATTTGAGATATTTGAGAGCCTACATGTGGTAATTGTGAATCTACGTGTGGTATTTGTGACTCGACGTGAGGTATTTGTGAATCTACGTGTGGTATTTGATTGTCATAGCTCGGAATACTTTGGAAAGAAATTGTCAATTTGACATCATCCAACCTATATCAAAATTAAATGTAAATAAATGGGTTTAAAAAGGCACAGAATAGTATAATTGTTGAAAAAAGGAATGTTTGAGTTTTCTTTTTAAGGTTTAATTATGTCTCCATTTCAGATCTTTTCTATCAAGAGTTAAGTTAAGTACTAAATTAGGGAAAATATTTGACTTTCCTTCCCCGTAAGGAAAAAAGCATATCATAATCTGACATAATCTGAATAAGTTTCAAATTAATTTTGCGCTTCGCGCTCTTTTAGAAAATGATTAAACACTCCTTTAGCCTTTACAGAAATAAAAAATATTTAAATTTAAAATTGAAAGTATGAAAACTAAAACAATTTTAAGAAGATTATACTGGAAGGGAAAAGAAAGGATCCGCTAAATGAATAGAATAAAAATGAAAAATGAAAAGGTAATTTTGAGTAGAACAGAAAGGAGCAATGTTAGTAGAACTAAGGTGTGGGACGTGGGTGTAGGGCCGGATTTGTGCATACATTTTATTATGACGTAATAGTATTCCAGGAACTAGCTTGATCAAAACAATAACAAGGATAGTAAACAATCGAATTTTCCTGGGAAGGATTAAAAGGGCTTGTAATATCATAGTATACTAACTGATGTTTGTTTACAATAAACTAGTTTCTGAGCAGTCCAAACACGTCACAAACACGTCACAAACCCTGTACTTCACCTTTCTTCTATTGACTTTTGGTAGGGGTTCATCCGTCAATATCATACCTGGCTATAAGACTGGACACTCCTAGACAATAACAAATATCCCGTAAGGGTTCTATATCCCCCTGGGTCATCCTTGTCACCTCTCCTGAGAAAATAGCGAATCATAAATTCAATAAACATGGTTTGCATTTTTTACAGTAAAGAGTAAAACTGAAAAAAAATTCACAAAAAGTGCAAAAGTTTTTCTTGCTGCTATTTTACTTTAAAAACTCATTGCTTTTATAAATGTTGTTTACCAGAGCTGGGAACTATTAAAAGAAAGGAATGAGATATAAGTTATAAAATAAAGCGACAAGTACTTGTATTGGAGTGTGTCTCTGGATTGAACACTTCCGCTCGCAAAATATTTAGAAAAAATTTTACAACGTTAATACGCCTTCTCAGTCTGATATAAATCAAATTTTTATTTTACAACTACTCCTTATAAAGGAGTTTTCATGGTCTACACAAAGCATCCCCTATGCTTGAGACTGTGTACACTTTACAGGGTACGTCACTGGTATAGTGTCCGTGTACGGTGTACCTGTATAGAAAAACTGGAGAAGCATCCTAACATAAAGAGAAGTATGATGAGGAAAATATAGAACTGAATCCTCGTCTTCTCCCACCTCTGATCCAGTAAACATATCAAATATTCAATATTAGATCAAATACAAACTAAGCTCCTTACTCCAGGCTTATCTCAGAGGTCCAGGGTTCATTTTCATATATTTAAAATCTGAGATAGCTTAAAATTAAAAAAAACCGACAATAACCATTTTTTATCATGAATTAATAGAATGGCGATTATAGTAAAGCTTTTGTATCCAGCTTTTCAGTAAAATCACATTTTTCCAGCGCCGGGTGGGAATTATGAAAAGTAAATGGAACGAAACTAAAACCAAAAAAGATTATAAGGAAAAATTTGTAAGAAAAAAGAAGGAAAGATAATTCCCTTAGGTTATAAAAAAAAACAATAAAAAATCCTACACCCCTGAAATTTCTACTTTCTCCTTTCTCTAATACTAGAAACCGAAGAATATGAATGTAATTTCAAGCTGCGGGGTAGACCTGAATACAAATGGTTCTAAACCTCTTTTAAATAAGATAAGTAAAGGATAATAAAACGGTTTCCCTCGAGCAACGATTTTAATCTAATTTCAAACCAAATTTAGCCAAAAATGTACAAGGTATTTTCTCTTTTCAACGGTATAACTTTATTTTTCATTCCACACAAATCACGAATATCTAATCAAGCTTCTAAAAAAAGAAAAGACTGTGAACGATTAAAGATGACAATCTAAAAATGCTAAATGATATATTTATTGCCTGAGAAGAGATAGCAGAGAAAACTTGAGTGTGCAGAGAGCACAGACCTAATCAGACGATCAATACATCTCAGGGATATATATTTTTCCCCAGTCAATGTTTAAATTGGTGAAAATTATTCGGAGGGGAAAATAAATAATAATTGGGTAAATAGCATTAAAAAAGGAAGAAACAATTGCCGAATAATGTCAAATATTCACTTTTTTCCCAAATCTTCTATCGTAAATCAAATAAAAAGCCCCAAATAAATCATTTAACAAATCAATCAATCAATCCACAATCCAACAAATAAACCAATCCACCCGTTAACCTTCCCGTGAATCAAAAAATAAATAAACCAACCAACCAAAATTAGGAAACCAACCAATTGACCTACCAATCATCAACTACTTCTCAACCTTTAAACCAATACACGAATTGTTCAGCAATTGAACCTAATGACCATAGCTAACCAACCATGATTATAACCAACCTACTTATTCTAACACAAATAAAGGTAAACCACCACCACCAATCAACCAATAATTCAGACCATAAATCAACAAACAATTTAGTATCCAAACCATTAATCAACCAACCATTCAGTATTCAAACCAATCATCAACAAACAAATCAGTATCCTAACCATCAACCAACAACTAGTAGATCCAAACATTTACCAACCAATCAATATTCAAACCATAAATCAACCAACCAATCAGTATACACTTTCCAAACCATAATTCAACCCAAACTAGCAATGCAATCCATGAATCAACGAACCAATCAGTATCCAAAACATAAATCAACCAAACCAATTAGAATCTAAACCATAAATCAACCAAATAACCAGCGATCCAAACCATTTTAACCAACCTACCAACCAATTAGTATCCCAACCATGAATCAACCAACCAACTAGCTATTCAAACAATTAACCAATCAACCAATCAGTATCCAAGCCATAAATCAACCGATAACCAGCGAGCTAACATAAATAAACCAACCATTCAGTATTCAAACCATTAATCATCAAACAAATCAGTATCCCAACCATAAACAACCAACGAACTAGCTATCAAAACAATTAACCAACCAATCAGTGTTCAACCAATAAATCAACCAATCAAGTAGCTATCCAAACCATTAACCTAACAACCAATCAGCATTCAAACCATTAATCAACCAACCAATCAGTATCAACTTTCCAAACCACAAGTCAACCAAAACTAGCTATCCAATCCAAGAATCAACAAAACAACCAGTAAACAAACCATAAATTAACCAACCATCAAATCTACCAATCAATTATTCGCAATGAGCAATAAACCAATTAACCAACCATTCAGCCAATTTACCAGCCATCAAATATTTCATAAACTTATCAATCTATTGAAAATTTACTAACCAACCAACCTGTGTGCTCTGAGTGTATCTGATGAGGTGATGATAGTTACATCTGTGAAGAACATGACGTCACAGACTGACTCCATGACATACTTGATATGAAGAAGAACAGCAGGACTAGGATGAAGTGGAGGGGGAACTAGGTAGCTGGTGTTCCCGGTATCCATATACCTACAAGAATAAACTCTCTCTTAAAGTTGTACATTCATACATACTTGTATAGAGTATTCTAAGGTGAAAAAAAATACTTCAAGAGTTCCTTATGGTTGAATAGAAAATAATAAAACTTTTGAGATTCATCCTAAATCCCTTATTCAGAAATTCAGAATTTTAAATCTTATTTTAAAGATTATCTGGGCAAATATATAAAAACAATAAAATTCGAATGGATTTAAAAGGGATGAAACTAACTTTGTGAAAATGGATAGACAATCTTCACGAGTAGAAGAATAGAAGTTTTTTACACTCTATTCTTTACAGTGACGTCATTTTCCTACAAAATTCCTTCTTTTTTAGCTAAATTTCCTGAATCTTATCAAAGGTCATCAAATAACCCGGTCAAGCTTATTACTAACTAGCTGAAGTGTCCGGTGTTGTCCGTGGAATAAAAAAAAATTGAAAATTTGAAAAATTTACAATTTAAAAAATTAAGAAAATTTTTTTTACAATTTAAAAATTTAGAAAAAAGTTGTTGAATTTTTTAGCCTGTTACCCCTGGCTGCCTCATAAAAGTTCAGGCCATTCGGTTCAGTTGTTTGGCCGGCTATAGGGAACATATATACAAATGTCTTGTTTTATTATATGAAACTATCTTTTGTCAGTAACTGTGATACTTTAATAAGATTTTGCTTGTGATTCCTGCAGCTATCAGTTTCGTTTAGATCAGCTTTTAACTAAGTATAAAAGCTTTAAAAATATGAATACTGGAATGGGAATGGTTTACCTGAAATTTGGATCCGATAGTTCTTGTTTTACATTGTTAGCTAGAGAATAATCATATAGACGGTCGTTTCTCTGTCCTCCCGTATCCTAGGAAGGGATTGCTTTGATATCAGAACATGGTGGGGATTCATTAAAACAATAAAACTTCATATGAACATTTATATATAACATTGCAATTTCACGGTTTATTAATACACAATGTTCCGTATTAGCTACTCTTCAGTTCATAAATATTATATATAATTATAAAATACCGATCCAAAGAGGGGGGGGGGGGGGGGGGGGAATCACGAGTTCCCCATTTTTTGAAACATTTACAACCAAAGATGTATTGATCTCCACCTTTTAATCAAAACTGAACAAATTAATGGCCAAAAAAATTATGAAAGGGGGAAGAGAATCCCTTTTGTTCACCACTTTCATATTTTTTTTACATAAGGAATTATATGAAAACTTTCTTTTTCACATATTAGTAAAAGATGGCACAAGAACTCTTAAATAAAATAGAATCATTTTTTGTATTGTTAATCTTGGAATCAAGTATTGATCCCATCTTACGCTGACCTAGGGATTACTCTTTTTTAACAATGTTTTTATAATTCATTTTTTATAATTTTTGTAAAAATAAAATGGTACAAGAAATAGTTAATAATTTCAAATAATTTCAGAAAGAGTAAAACTTCAATCATCCTGGATTGTCCAACCCGCCAGGCAGGCATGCAGGTGGGTGAACAGGCGTATCTGGCACGTTGTAGGGCTGCCAGACACTTTATGAATACCTGTAAAGTATCCGAGTATGGATTGGATATTGGATATCTTGAATAGTAATCACTATACTGTGTCAAGGTCTCCTCATAGTCCTCGAGATGCCCCTCTCCGCCCAGGTACTCGGGGTTCAACCCGGAGCTATTGTAGAAGGTCTCCTCGTATGGTTGGTGGTGGGCCAGGGGGGGCGGAGGGGGCACAGGAGAGTTCCCAGTAAAAACAGGTGTCCTGGGGTACATATCCCCCAGCTGGATTTGATCAGATGCTCCTGCCAGTGATAGATCTGCTGCCTTCATATTTTAATTTCGGGTTTTCAAATAAAGTTTTAAAATAAAACAAATGTTTTTAAATATACTAGTGTTAAATATTTGAGTGTAATGATTTTACAAAGTATTTTAATTAATTTCTTTTTATGAACGATATTTTTTTTAAATCCATTCTTTTAATTGAATTTAATTTTATATATTCCTGTTTTTGATAATATGCTTTAGGAGTTCAAAATTATTCATTAAAAGTTTTGTATTTTCATGAGCTACATAACAAATTATAAATAAATTTTTCTTTGTTTAAAATGGCTGAATTGAATCGAAATCGTTATATTCCTGAGTTTGATAATGAGCTGTAAATTCGTTGGTTCGCAGTTCATTTCCTCCCCCTACCATCTCATTCTCTGAATTAATCAAAAAATATATTCCAGGATATAGCGTTATAAGTTCAAAGGTATTTTTTATTAAAAACTTAATACATCATACCGCCAACCCATGTTTTAATTTCTTTTTTATTTACTAAGCAATACTTAACAAGTTTTTCCTCTATAAATCTTCGAAAATCATTTCCCAGAGGGGGCAGGTAATTCTTTAAAATATTCTTCTCTTAATTAAAATTTCTTTTCAGCTGATAAAATTAATTTTTTTTAAGTGTTTAAGTGGAAAATGAAAAATCTAATCCGCTTAGGTTCGAGTCCGGCGGCGGGAAAGTTGAGAAGGCAATTTTCAAAGTGTATTTACTCTATTATTTAAACAATTTACCTCCCTAGAGATCTTACAATCAAGTTAAAACTTAACGAACTTAAAAAACACGAAGTTTCGTGATATGAAATGTACAATAATTTTAAGGAGAAAAAAAAGAATATAAATCTAAAAAAATTTAGTTTTCCCGGTTCGTTTGGTGGATTTATTAAACTATCAAAAACGAAAATCTCGCGGAGAGGCATTTCGACAGGTGTCGTGCGTCAGTTCTTCCCTGTGCGGGTGAAGTTAAATAAATAAAAATGTAAGCAATCGAATCGGAGTTTTTGTCGATTATGAAATTTTAAAAAAAAATCCATCGCTCCGAAAGAAAAGCCAAATGCATATATATATATAAAGTTGTAATCTCTGTTTGTTTGAATGTCCGATCATAACTCATGAACTCCCTGACAGTGTCTCAAATTTTGATTAAAGAACTCAGTATAACCGGGGAAATGTTCTTAGCATTATTTAAAACCTCTAAGTTGAATGGATTGAATTTTGTCGGGAAATATCCAGTCAAAGCTTGGTTCCCAAGCAGGGGCGTTGTCAGGCTTAAATTTTTGTTTCTTTATAGGAGGGGGGGGGGGGGGCTCAGCACTCGTCGGGGCCTGAAAACCCCCTGATTTCACTGGTCCAGGGTGGGGGGCTGACTACACCTCTGTTCCCAAGGTAGTGAATATCAAAGTTACCTTGTGGTTTATCCCTAGTATCCCTATCACTGAGTAGAGTTAGGAGAGAGAATGGATGCTCAGGAACCCCCATAGTAAACTTTTTAACTCCTCTACCAGTCATCTTCAACACTCAGAAATACAAAGTCTACAAAATTTTGAATATTAAAATTGAAAAGCATTATTTTATACAGTTTTTTTAATCCTTTTTTTAATAGAAAATACTGAGATCAAGGTAAAAATACCTCTTATTTTACTCAGGAAATGATTAATTCGTAAAATTTTGGAGATAGACAAAATAAATTTTGCATAAAATAAATAAATTCCTTGAAAAAAACATCAATAAAAATAGAACAATCTGCAATTTACATTATACAAAATATACAATATACAGTATACAACATACAACATACAACATACAACATACAACATACAACATACAACATACAACATACAACATACAACATACAACATACAACATACAATATACAACATATAACAGACAATATACAATATGCAATATATACAGTTTGCAGTATACAACTCTATAGAGAATTAAACATGTTTAAGGATCAAAGTAATTGTTTTACTTTTCTCATTTGCTCCGGTCCAGGGTTTCTTTATATTGGAGAACTTCTATCCCTGATGGATATATTTTACTCAAAACCAATAAAATTTATCACTTCTTACACTCCTCCAATTACAATAATTGAATTTTTAATGTTAGTATAAAATATCTATTTATGTCATTGTAATGGGTATTAATAAGTGCGAAAAAGTTTTTGCCGGGATTTTTATTTTGATCGAAAACAAACTAGAAAAATCAAAAATCACAGAAAAACTTTGTTGTAGGGTGGTGATTAAGTAACTTTATCACCCTACAATGAGACAAATAAGATATGAAATTTGAAATTTTAATGGCAGGGTGAAAAAGTTACTTTTTCGCCCTGTTGTACGGCGATAAAATCACTTAATCACACTACAACCGGAAATATTAGGTGTGATAAATTCCATCAAAATTGAATAAAAATAATTATGCTCGGTGTCTGTTATAAAACACTAAATCTTGGTAAACTTGAACCGGATTTAATGATGTAGGAGACGTTGTTGGACTACCTAGAACAGGTTTAAATCATGAATCACCGATCCACTCTTCAATTAATTACCTTAAAACTCACATAACTTTGAATCTGTGATTCAGGATTTTAACCAATGGAAAGTAGTTGAGCAACCTCTCCAATTTATTAGATTCGGTTCCTGTGTTGTTAAAAAGATTAACATGTTTTATTACGTCAACCGTTCTTTTAACGCTAACAAATGTTAAGACCTGAGCTGAAAACTTTAGAATGGGATATCCTTAATCCCGATAGGTAAATTAATCTAGAGATTAATTACAAGAGGATAACAATCATTATTTAATCTGGATTTTAAGAAAAAGAGGAAATAAAGCATAAATTTCGATATCCACCATTCTAAAGTTTTCAGCTCAGATGGTATTATTTTTTCAAAATAAAAATATTAAATCTGATACTAATTGTTAATTATCGGACTTGATAAAATATTCCAGGGCTACTTCGTTCTTTGGTTTGCTTGTTTTCAAACATAATATGTTTTCATCTTTTGAAGGAATTCTTAAGGAGGAGGTAGAACAAATAGATTATCAACGTACAATAGGAGGCAACAGAGAAATAAACCAATTTATAAAAATTTGAGTTTGTTGTAAAAACTAATTTTCTTTATTTGACTTACCCGGACGGAAATAAAGATGGAAATTCTTTACATTATTTCCCGAACCTTCTTCCCATTGATAACATTCTTCTCTAAAATGGCAGAAATAACACATAGACACGCAGGGGTACATTTTGGAAATAGAATTTTTTTAATTATTTAACGAGCATTTGACAAGAGTCAAGTATGGATACATAGTTTGAATATTTTGAATAATGTGAAGTAATTAATAGGCTATATTTTTAATTTAATTAGAAATCGAATATTGATTTGAACTATTTAAACAACATTACAAATATCTAGGTGTAAACCAATCTCCTTATTAAAAGCGCCCGGTCAATTAAACCTGACTGTTCTGTAGACTGGTCATTGGTCAATAATTTTAACCTGCCTGTTCTAGAGGCCGGTCATCCTAACATACCTGTTCTAGAGGCAGGTCATCTTTACCTGCCTGTTCTAGAGGCCGGTCATCTCAACCTACCCAAAGAGGCAGGTAAAATTACCCTCCCCGTCAAAAGAGGCCGACAAATTTGTTCACCTTATTCTAGAAGTCGTTCAATTAACCCAACCTGTAGGCTGGTCTATTTAACCTGCCTGATATGTAGGCCGGTCTATTTAACCTGCCTGTTCTAGTAGCCGGTAAATCAACCAACCTTTTCTAGATAGGGGTCAATCAGACTTTTCTAGATACCGGTCAATTTGGGCAATTTGATCTACACATTCTGGAGGCCGGTTAATTAGTAACTTAGATATTTATATGAAAATCAGCTGATCTAAAAAAAGGTTTATCTAGCCATGATCCGAGTAGATGCTGCATGAGATAATGGATTAAGTTCAGATCAAAACTGATTAGGAGTTTACAACTTGTGACATAATAATGCTTTGATTATGACAAAAATTGAATTCTGCAACAACAACAAAAACGTCAGATAGTTCAGAGTTGAAAAGTTTTAGAACATAGCAATGTATAAAAAGTTTCAAATCAGCTAAAAGCAGATAAGTACATATGTATAAGTATATAGCTGAGTATTCGATGTTTTATATCCGTTGTACAATGTACATTGTACATAGACGGTAGCTCAATAGAAAATATTTTAGATCAGTTTTCCTTCTATGTACACATGTTCATAGCTGATTGGTGATGTGATAAACAAAAGAAAAACAAGTTTTAGATCAGCTGATGAATTACTAACATGAAGCACACAAATCACAAAAATTCTTTGGCACAGATACAATAACTAGTTTTAATTCAAGATGGCCACCAACATCCATGATTAAAGATATGATACATAAACGAAATATGCTTTAAATATCAATGTAAGGTAGAACTAAAATCTAATAAAATACAAAATAATAACGTAAGTAGAATTTGAAAAAATAATTAAGCTTAAATATAAAATATATATTTTTGATAATCTAAAAAGGACTAGATATAAGCTTCTAAACTAAGCTGGTAAGTAATAAAATGATAGAATATTTTTTAATCTGCTCAACTAGTTTGAGTCTGTTTGCTGTACAGTGTCTTAGTTTAACGCGTAGTTTTATTTATGATGCTGAATTTAAAGTCAAAAATGTACTGATAATTATATCTAATTGACTAATAATAAGTGAGAAATTTCTAATTAAGAGAAAGAAGATACAATTTTAGTCACTCAGAGGACTAATACATTAGAAATATCAAACTATAAATCCTATTTAAGTAAAATATCATGAATGTAAGTATATTTTACACTCTACATAAAATACAATAAAATAACATTGAAAAAGGCAGAATCCAGATCTCATTGAAGATAAAATATATGGATAAGTTAAAAATAAATTTTACATGACTTTAAATTCAAAATGATTCTAAAATATTTTAAAATCCTGCCAGAAAAAAAAGTCCAAAATTATTTATGTGCGTTTTGGATTCTGTAATCTGCATATTACATGACAAACAATAACTCATTCGTATTTAATAATAATATACATTAAAGAATAAATGGGAAATAAGGATACTGAGTGCAGAATCAAAGCTACAACTGTACAATTTACAGATAAGGGTTATAATAGACACAAATTGTTTACAACATCCTAACATTATAGAAGATATTACAAAAAATAATTGAATGTCAAAAAATCTGGTAAAAAAGCCAAACCAGTATTGTTAGGCCAGTTCTTTGAGTATTAAAAGGAGATCAAAGTTTGTTATTTACAACTAAGAGAGACCATGTTTACCAGTTTTTTTACAGGAATATCTTAGAGAGATAATTTAGAAAATTACTACTTTGTATAAATAATTCTTAACTTTCTACCAAGTTTGTGCAAGTTTATGAAGGAAAGCTGGAAATGAAGATGTCATAAACATTTGTAAAACTTGTTTTCAGTCTTAACTTGAAACATTGAGAACCAGAGGAGAGACATATCAACAGACGTAGCTGTAATCCTTCCGATGTTAGGTTTTACAGTACATTAAGCATCATCTTTTATGTTGAACAGTACATAAAACACTGAATGTCGTACAGTACACCAAACAATTTAATAAAGCACATATAGTTACTTCATACTTATAGTAAACGAAACCTAATTTTACCGCATTTTGATCAACATTACTGACCTATGAATCCCACAACAGAGAGACTTTAAGTTACTTTACGTCCCTTGGGACAAGTAGGTAAATAAACGACTTGCTCTGCGAAGATTTCGTGAAAAAATTCGCACATTTGCATCTCAAAAGACAATAAAATTGTATAAAATTACTTTTTCGGGAAATTAAAAATTATACTTAACCATGGGTTCCCTCAAAATTGGTCTTTGGAACCCTTGGTAAAGTAAAATTCCCTTAACTTCCCTGTAAAGTTGTAAATAATTATATGGGTGTACTGTACAGTGTACATACTGTATACAAACTATTACATTGAAGGTTATACAGTACACGGAACATTACACTCAAGGTTATATGATAACAAAAGCATCACCTTAGGTTGTGCATGGCAGCACAATACATGTAAATACAAAGACGAGAATTATTACCAACTTTGTTAATATATCTCCCAATTCTACAATAAACAGTAAGTACCGAAGAAGTTTTAAACTTTAAAATAAAAAGAAACTTTTGCTTTAATGAACAAAAAGTGTTGGTTTAAATATTCAATATTTTTTTATGACGCTTTTGAGATCAACAGCAACACATATTTTTATACATACGTGAACAGGATGATACAAGAACGCACCTAACTAAATAAACCTCCGCGTTTGTCGCGGCTTGTGCGCATTTTGCGCGAAAAGGACGGGAAAGAGATAATTCTGTTCGTCAGACCATATGAATGAAAACTTTTTTTAATGGCTCCCTTTTTCAAATTAATTTGAAATCAAATAGTTAAAAAGTATTGAATCATAAGTAAATGTTTCTTTTGTAAATAAATTCGTAATTAGACTTTTTCGGAAATCACTGCGATTTCACGAAGCACAACAGCAACTCTAGTTTTCTTAAGCCCAACTTGTTTATCTATGAAATTAGGCAACATGATATCATACAGTTAATCTTTTTATAATGAATAGAAGAGAATTCAGATTTTTTCTTATTAAATAGATCTAATTTCAGAACAAACAAAGGTTACCTGAAAAATATATAAATTGAATGCGGTTTGTACCCAGAATAATTAGAAATATTTAGGTACAACCTAACATTAATATACACAACAATTACTTAGCTTACCAACTCAGTTTTGTACAATCCATGAATTTAAGCCGATGAAATATTTGAAGAATTTGGTTGCTTTGGATTATATTAATTATAAATTGTTATGAATGATGATTGATGTTACAATAATATACCATGTATATTGTTTATCAACGATAATCGGTTTTTAGATTTGTTAAAACTCGTTATCAAATGATTAGGTCTCAGGTTTACTGATAACTCGTCATCATATGATTAGGTGTCGGGTCGACAGAAACTCGTCATCAGATGATCAGATTTTGGGTTTCTGGTTTACTGAAACTCGTCATCAGATGAGAGGAGGAGAGATTTTTCTCCGTCCTTAGGTCTGGCTCCAGGTTTCTGGGTCCCTGTTCCTCCGTTCTTTTCCCTAAAAACATTTACATTTAAATTTAATCCACAAGATATTATTTATTTAAAAGGTATTTTTTACAAAAATTAAAGATGACAGGCTTAGGTTTTAATGATATCCAAATCACAATGATTTTCAAACTTTTTATTTTTACTTTTAAAAGTGATTTTTTTTTCACTTATTTTATATTTTCAACCCATTTGCGATGGCCATTTATAAGTGAAAAATACCTTTTGTAAACATTTTTGGTTCTTGAAAATGATTCCAAAACTGGTTCACCCATTAATATTCATGCCTGAATGTTTATTGCTTATTATGGTACCGCAGAACAAGCATTACAAATAATTAGAAGTCCTAGTAGAGAACATTATTGGTTCTTGAAAATAATTTCAGAAAAATTTAACTCTTAATGCAATATGCATCAATATCTATATTCTACAATCCATTAAAGTAAAAACTTTATTTCAGCGATTCACCGTGTGAACTCTAACTTGCTTATGATTTATCAAAATAAAAACTGAATAAAATTTTACTTTGCTGGTTTTTCAACTGATCCTGGGTCCTTGTAGCTTCCTCCTGCACTGCTGTACTGCGTGTACTGCTGGTACTATAATTTAAACAACTAGTTTGTAAAATATTTTATCAAAGATGCAAACTTATAAATAATCTATTCTTTTTTTTGTTAAATAGATTATATAATGTTCCAAACTAAGTAAAATTCCATGATTTATTGATAGGTTCAGACAGTCGATGTATTTTTTGGGGTTTGAGAAACATTTTGTTTTCTTATGCTTTCTTAGGGGTTTATTCTTATTCGCTCAACTGAAGAAATAAGGTTAATTAGAAGAAATCAAATGAAGTTTAAATAAAAAGTATCAAAAACAGATTAAAAGAGCATCGAAAAGCACTTTTTGGAAACATATAACCCTGCTAGGCTGCTATTATTCGTTCGACAATCAACCTCTTGATCTTAATCATGTCCAACATGGGCCAAATTAGTCAGCTGTTAAGACATTTATTGGAAACAAAGAAAGAAAGCAATTAACAATGTAATTAGTATAATAAAGCTATTTGCTCATAAAAATATACATTTATTTATATGTTAGCTAAAGCTGGCCAAACGGCTGGACCAAATGGGCTGAAATTATACTAAAATAAAGATATTTTTAAACTTTTTAAAATTCCATGAGCAACGCTAAAAACATTTGTTGTACCTGTGGGTGGAAGTTGTGAATAGCGTCGGTCATAATATCCCTGGGATTAATGGTTTCCTTGAGTGTGTTGGATATACTCTGCATAGTAACAGATCTACCTACTCCCTCCCGTCCACTACAATCAAGGAAGGATTAGGATCCCTGGGTCAACCCAGATTGAAATATATTTTCAATAAAATGTGGAATCTACTTTATTTACTCTACAGAGGTTTGGTCCATAGCAATTCAACATCACCGAATTTTAAATAAGGTTGATTTCATTTTCTGTCACAATTATGTATTTATTTTTCTGTCACAATTATATAATTCATTTCTTGTCACGATTATGTAATTCATTTTCTGGCCCAATTGTGTAATTCATTTCCTGTCACAATTATTATATTCTAACCTCCTAGCAACCATAATTCAATTACCCCCATGAAGGCATAGAAAATAGAATTCATATACCTCTTTAAAACAATATACAGCAAATCAAAGACATATGTTTTATCCACTTTAAACCTGTAATTTCTACCGCCCGTTTAATAAGATAAAATAGCTCGAATATTTTTAGAAAAGAAAATTCCATGGGGGCATTTCATCTTCATCTTCAAAAATAATTTTCTAAACCTTTGAGAAAAACAAAAATAAGACGTCGACTTTTTTTTGGGGGGGTGGGGGTAGTTTGTTGATTATGGATTGCTATCTATCGTGAGGGGTTTCACGCCAGATTGGAACGGATAGGGGGAATTGGTGGTGGTCTGGGGAGTCCACTACAGACTACATTTCTTAATAGTTCTCTGTACAAACCTGTTAAAGGTCGAGGTCATGTAAGCTGAGATCGGGAACGCGTAACGAAGCGCTATAGCGGCAAACAGCATCTCTTTAATCAAACAAGTTTATGGTTTGGCTGAATCTTTAAATGGCCATCTTTTAATACTTTCCTAGAACTTCTTTCAAGTATATTGGAATGGGAACTACTAGAGAGGGAAAGGATAATTCTTTAATAAAATGATTACCCCTCTCCTGTTCTGAGTTAGATGATAATGTGTCTCATGTGAGCAAAGAAAATAAAAGTGAGAGTTTACATTTAGAAGTAAAGTAAAAATAAAAATAAAAATTTAGAAAGAAAGGATGGTTTTTATATGTAATTGTCATAATAATTAATCATTTGATGAGATTTGTGGAGAGGAAGTAAATATTTAAAATTCCAATATTTACTATTTACCGCTATTAAAACTTTCTTCTCACAAAAAGAGGAAAAGCTATAATGAAGAAGGGGAAGGGAAAATATACAGCCATATATTTTATTGTTTATAAATAAACTTGTTTCCTATCGAGATGATGAAGTTCTGGTATCCTGCAGATACACTGGAGGATTTAGTCTCAGTTCCACCATGCTCCCACCTGAGTTTAAAGGGACTGTACACGTAGTTTCAAGTGTAAAGCCTGTCCGACTCACAACAGTACCCTTTAAACCTGTATCTAATCAAGTATGTGAAACATAAGATAATGTCGTTTTTCTAGCTTTTTCCTCCGTTGTTTAATGTTTATAGAGAAAATATCCGCAAGTCTCTTTTGTTGAGAAACCACAGTTGTAAATGTGATTATCTCATTCAATCTTGATCATTCAGAAAAAGGGTACCGTTGTGAATTTGACTGCCACTTTCAAAATGGAGGGCCAATTAAAATTAAGTCTTCAGTCAATTATAAATAAATACAAACTAGGTAATTGTTCATCATTATTTCTTAGATTAATTAACCTCAAGTTAGAAATTAATTCAATTGGATGATGAAGAAGTAATCATGAATCAGAGATAGAAAGTATTATCATTATTATTATGATTATTATTTGAATCCATAAGGAAGAATATAATTAATGACACGCTTCGGAAATTCAAATTACTTGTCATCCTATCTCTCTCCCCCCCCCCCTCTCCTCCGAATGTGAATTCCTTCAACTGAAATCTGATTTGATCAATAAATACGAAAAAAATAGAAATTATTAAGCATAGTCTTTTAACAGTTAAAATCGAGAAAGATTTCGATTAATGCTAAAGATAAAAATCTAAGATATTAGCCCCCCCCCCTTCTCAGCCTTCTCCCATCAAACCTAATCGATGAGATGAGCTCGAGCTTCTCCAGGACCGCCAGGATGAACCCTTGCCAGAACGACAGGAAGATGATCGCCTTGATCGTGAAGAACTTGATCACCGGAGTAAAGGGCCGAAGAAGATCGTGGGTGGCGAAGTAGAAGAGGAAGAGAGCGTACAGGGCGATGGAGATGCTCATGTTGTTGATGAGGGTGGTGTACAGGTAGCCCTGGTTTGGTGACCAGTTCCCGTCGTAGTACAGATCAAACGCCTGCAATATGAAACATGTTAATTGATTATGAGTCCTATTTTCCTATATTAAAACAAAAATCTCAAAAAAATCAGAAAATTTTTAATTTGAGGAAGATCAATCATGTGTTTAGAACAAATAGCAGCTAAAAATTTGGATGGCGTACTGTACTGTACTCTACTGTACTATACCGTACTGTACCTGAAGGATGATGACCAGGAAAGAAGTGAGAGGCTTGATTATACAGAACTGCAGGGTTCCTTGTTTGCAGAACCTTAAACAGAATTGTATACAGATTAAAAAAATACGATTTTTTTCCTCGAAAATTTCATAAACGGGATAAAAAAATGAAGACACAAAATAGAGCAAACGAAAAAGATAGCAGTTAAAGCAAAAGGCATAAAAATCATGATTTGTAAGGAAAGTAAATTACTTTGGGAATTGGGCTTCAACCTACGAGCTTTTTCATCCTCCCAAAAAAGTTTATTTCAAAGTTTTAAAAGATTTAAAAACAAACAACCTAACGGCCCAGAATTTAATAGTAGGTCCATAAGAAGTAATGAGACAAGAATAACATTTTTTTAAAGAAGCGAAGGTTAGGTAAGGGTAGCCAACTCACAATACCCTTTGTGAGATCATAAATAAGCCTATTTAATCACTGAAAAATGTTTCTGAGGGCCAGGTTTAATACTATCTGTCTTTGCGAGGTAAGTTAGAATTAGTAGTGTTTCTGGCTTATAACATTGGGGTAAAATGTTTATATTCAAACCAGGGGCGTACGAGAGCATTTGTGTCTGGGGGAACTTTTTGCACGCCGCGCAAAAAAAAATGTTGGAGCCCCCCCCCCCCTTAAAAAACCTTTTTTTTTAAATATTGATGGCTTCTTTCACTATGTTAGGGTAAACTACTCGATCATATACACACTTCCGTATTACAACTGTTGATAAATCATTTATGTAATTTTCTTAAGTAGACTCATCAGACACTTCCTCAAGGGTGAACAATAGAAATGGAAACGTTTCTTATAAAATATTTTATTTTCTTAGGATTTTTTACATAATATCAAATCTATATTTACACTGAAGGTAGTATAGATTTAAGCTGTTTTAATGAAACTTTCTTAGTTATGGGCAAAAGTGAGATTTTAAAGTTTTTTTTTATTTGATGTAACTAAACTTAAATGAAATACACGCGCAATTTTAAGTGACCCTTCATTTATAGAGTGCCGATGTGCCTTTGAAACCATCATTTCTCCATCGTTTCTGAATCAATTGAAATGCATGAGTCACTTTTGCAGAGAAACCACAATTGAAAATAATCCGTTTTCAAAATGGGAGAAATGGATATTTAATGCAATACTTGATCAGACAAAGCTTTGAAGGGTATGGTTGTGATTCAGAATTGAAATTATGTCTGTCAGTCACTTTAATAATCTCGATTGATAGTACATTAATTATACTACTTTGTAAGTTTGTGAACTTTGAAGAAATGAAAAAAGAAATATACAAAATGATTTTTTTAAAACAGATTATGAAAAAGCTTTAAAATTACTGCCTCCAAAATCAAGAATCCGAGGTTAATTTCAATTAATATATAGATAGGAGAACAATCCCTTTAATATATAGATAGGAGAACAATCCCTTTATTATATAGATAGGAGAACAATCCCTTTAAATGATTACCTGAGGAATCCAATGTTGTATGACTGTGCCTGTATCCAGCATGTTCCATACCAGCAGCTGGAACGAATTGGTTTACCACGTATCTCCGACATTATAGATCCTTCTCCTCCCAGGTACTCGTAGCACAGACTGGATACAATACACATTCACTTAAATATTCAGGGGTATAAATTTCAAAAAATCCTTCCCCCCCCCCTAATAAAAATTTTAGTATATCGGTCAAAGTGTTCAGGAGTTATGATCGAACATACAAACAGATAAACAGAGATCACTACTTTATATATGTAGCTGAGTTAATAAATGACCAGAATGTAGTTCTAGTCGAAATCGTAGATTCAAAGTTGTTTATTGTAAAAATAACACTAACTAAATAAAAAAAATTTAATTAAAACGTAAAATAATAAGAAAAGAATATGGGGATTTGGAAAATCTTTAAATTTTGAAAAAAAAACATAACATCTCTGTAGTGTGTTGTGTAATGTGTATGTTCCTGAGGAAGTTGTAGATAACGAACGCCTCGTAGCAGTCCCTGACAGCGTTGAAGTACACGTACACGTTGTTGTAGCTGAAGAAGAGCAAGCTCAGCCAGCTGGTCAGGGCGTACACAGGAACAATAAACAGGATTCTAACGGGTTATATACTCAAGAAATAAAATAAGAAGAACTTACTTAAATTAGCTTTTCATAGTTTTAACAACTATGTAATTATTTTTAATTAACTATTTCTAGAAAATGTCAAATTTAAAAAACACTAACTGTTCTGTGCTAAATCATATTCTTTCTTTTCTTTTATTATTGTTGAGTTAAAATTCCCTTATGATCCATCGTTGTTCCGCCGGGTTGGTGTAGTATCTAAAATATGTTAATTTTCATTTTCTATCCGGTTCCAACATTTTCAGGATAAACTTCGTAACTCAATACAATTCACTCAAGGTATAATGCACATTGTGCAAATATATGGTTTTCTTAGTTATTTTTAGGATTAAATATCTCCTCCTACCATTTCTAATACCCGACCTTTTCTCAAAATAATTTCTTCCGTTAGTTTTACAATATTATTCTACATTGGTTACACATCTCAGGTTTTAACCTTGCAAGCTCTTTTACAGTTTTTAGCCTCAATATCATTTTTCCCCCAAATTTTTAAAAAAACTATTTTGTGAATTTTTTTAATGAAGTGAAATGATTTTGTCATGAGACTAAAATTCTCGGGAAAAAAAAACCTTTTTGTCGCACACAAGAGAATGTCTGAATATTTTTTAAATGTTACTGGAGATTACAGGGAGACCAAAAAAAACTATGAAATATGAAGAACATTTTTAGACTCCAGTTTTGATTTTAAATAGTCAAATGAACATTGTGCGGTTTCACACAAACACTCCAGTTAACGTAATTTGATGCTTTCAGACCAAATGGTAAAACTATTTGCTTAATAAAACCATCAAGTAAACATAAAATTGCATAAATTTCATCTTCCTATTCCTAAATTTTTTTGGGTCTCACTGTAATAAAAAAAAACTTTTTAAAAGAACGGATGAATGAACCTGAGATACTGGAATATTTGGTATCCCGTGATGAAGAGAGCAGACCAAACACAGAACCCGGATAGTCCTCGACAGGTTCCACTCTCAAGGAAGGATTTTGTCATCCTTCAAATATCATAAAAACATCTACAATTACCGCTCTATCCTCAGGCGTTTTTATTTTTATTTTTATGGTGCAAAGCTATAACTATATGTTGATGTTGCAGAACTGTATTTTTCTTTCAAATGATTTTAACTCTATAAAAGAAACAATAGTGCAAAGCTACTGGTTCTCCAATAACATCTCTATCGGCAATTGTCGCCATCCGTCTCATTTTTTATTTTATTAATATTTACCGATATATTTCTTGTTGTTTTCTTCCGCACATTTTATAAAATCGAATAAAAATCAAAATGTACATATCGATAATATATATATAAAGTTTATTGCCATTTGCTCTGTACCATTTTGATCAATAAATAGATTTGAATAATAATAATAATAATAATAAAAACATCATACTGATTATCTAAAATTTAAAATGTTCTGAACAAAAAATTAGATTGATTGTTGAAGGGCTTAAAGATGTAACGTCAGATATCTACGATTTCTTCCTCCCTTTTAAATCATATTCCTGGAAAATTCTTCCTTTCTTTCTTTCGTATTAAGAACTTGTTTACGTCTTTATAACAAATATTTTGGAAATTCGCGCATTATTTTTTCCTCAAAAGGGGATGGTGGAGTTGGAACATTTGATGTAGAGGGGG